GAACAAATAACGAATCCATTTTTTGCATAAATTTAATAAAATCTTTTTCACATTTTTATGTTTTTTATTAAGAAAGTTTTTTGTAAAACTTAATATTTGCCTTATTAGGTTAATGGATAATAATAGCTTTATAAAGGTATTGTACTAAAAAAGCAATTTCACCATATTAAAAAAAAAATTAAATATTTTATTTGGAAATAATTGTTCCAGCTTGTCTTTTGTCCTTATAGTAATCAATGTATAATTATAATTGATGAAAGCTTGGATTAAGTTTTTTAACCATTGTTATAACATAACGAATAAAAAATTATTGGGACATAGTATTAGGTAGTAGCATAATTATTATTTGTTTTATTATAAGTCCTGATTATTAAACAAATTTTATGCTCTATTTCACAGCAATAACAGAAGTTGCTACTTGAATTACCTATTAAGTTTTCGTATATCTAAACGTTCTGCATAAAGATTTGACTTTATATAACAAACCTAATTTTAAGGCAAAACACATTTTTTAAGTCTTAGGATAGTTTGTTTGTTTAAAATTTATTTACGTTTACTTAAAAATAAGAATATTTGAATTTTTATTAATAGTTTTATAAAAACATGCAAAAAAGTATATTAATTAAACAATTTATATAGTAATTGGACACATGGAACATAGTTATTGGACATACAATTTTTATATAAACATAACAACTTTACATCAAATAACATAAATTGTTAAATATTTTTTAAAGATAAATTGCTGTTTTAGGTAATTTTTTTATTTCGTTTTTGTAAATATCATATAATTCATATATTTCTTTCCTCATCCCTTTTCTGGATTCTGAAGGAAACTACTAATTTCTTTGTCTGACTTCTGAAATAGTTTGTTGCAAATATCATTAAGTGTGGTATCTCTAGTTTGTGAAGCATTTATAATGTTTAGGCCGGAACAGGATGATTTATATATATCTAATATTTTTTCGGGTGGTATGTTAAAAGTATTTTCCGAATTTATTAATTTTGTTGCCATTAGTTTTTTATGTTCTCTATCATGCACTGTATTTAAATCACTGTTATTCTGCTAGATGTCCTGTGACGAAAAAATCACTATATTACTTACTCTCTAAAAATTAATCAGTCAAAAATGTCATAGCGAAAAAGCAGCCACTAATAATTCTCGTCAACAGCAATTTGTATCCAGGACATTTAGCAGTCAATTCCTATGAAATATTATTCGCTGAATCCGAAAATTTCGTCAAAAGTTATAAAAGTAGAACAGGTTTTGTAATATAATCAATTTTACATATAATATGGAATTGACTATATCTCAAAAACTGCTCAACTTTTATTGTTTTTGATGGTCTTTTTGGATTAAGGGGACAATTTTACATAAGAATTGGCTGGTAAATGTCCAGGATACAAATAGAGTATGATATTGGACATATGTATGGCCCTTTTACTGTTGGTTTTTAGAATTAAAATTAAAACGCATTAAAGTGACAATGTTTAAACCATGAGGAACACATTTATACCACACACTGATCTGTACACTTTTTAGAAATATTTTTTATTGTAATTTAAACACAGCCCTGCTCTTAACAAAAAAACAAAAATCTTACCACCAAAGTAACGTGCGAACTTTTTTGTCTCATATAGGACCCAAAATAAAGTAGTTCTATATTATTATTATAAGGGGGATAATAAAATGCAAGCTACCGGTTCGATTTAGTTGTAGGGGTATGTATAAAAAAATTTATTAAATTTTTAAAATAATATTTTAGTTTGTTATCCATGTAACTACTTTTTTTGACTATCCAAATGCTTAAAAGATCAGAATGCAAAAAAGCAACAAAATTAAATAATTAAAATAGTGTTCCTTTGTTTGATTGGCTGACCTTATAAACAAAATCCGGAATATTATTGTTTTAAATTAAATTTAATTTAATGTCAAAATTCTACCTTTCACTGTCTTCATAAATATAAAATTCTTGGCATGGTGCAAAGGTCAAATCGGTAATTTATTTTTTTTACTTTTATCTAACACTCAAGCGTAGGTGTAAACAATATAATAAAATTACACTTAAAAGAACAAAACAATAAAGTAATTAATAACTTTATGAATTCTTTTTGCACCCAATAATTACGGTGTTATTAACACGCTTTCAATACGAAGCATATATTTATGGTACAAAAGTACGATTTAATCGCACATCTAGATGTAGAAATTAATATTTTTTGTAAGTCAATGTTAAAACAAAAAGAACTGTTGTAGTTGGCTCCTTCGCGGTCTAATTGAAACAAAAAATGTTTTACTTATGGTTTTTAAATCAATTGAAAGTTGGTTATAACAAAAGGAATAATATAGGTATATTTAATTTTCCAGGATTATAAGAATATGGTTAATTGTTGATTGAGTTTTTTAGTATTGTGAAGTCTACTTTAACAAAATACCATTTATTTTTTTCACCCCTAATCTTGAAAAAAATTTAAGTAATTCTATTAACTAGATAAGATTGAAATCAAAATACTAATAATCGGTTGGTACCTAAAAAATATTTTATTACCTAAGTAATTGGTTTTATATTTAATGTTGCATTAATGAATTGAACTTTTCTTATACTTAAGTAAGCACATAATTATTAATTATTACCTTGTATAGGGGATTGCAAAATATATTTAAAATAATTGTATTAATATTATTGCCAAACATAAGATTATATACATATGTACTTGGTCAAGTAAAAAAAATAATTTCAACACTCATTATAACCTTTATTCTGTAATTTTATATAAAATGAACTTTATAAAACGAATAAGTCAAAAATGACTAATTGGCATAGGGAAAAAGCAGCCACTAATAATTGTCGTCAATAGCAATTTGAATCCCGAACATTTAGCAGTCAATTTTCATGTAAAATTGTCCCCTGAATCCGAAAATGTCGTCAAAAGTTATATATTTTTTTATATAATTGACACATAACAAGTTGTATTGATTTTACTTTAGGTTTTTGACAACATATTAATGTTTTTATTCGGTTTACATAAAATGTTGTTTATTAAACTTAAAGTTAAATAAGCAAAATTATTCTTTTTGAAACAATTGTTTATATGGTTCGATAAACTAAAAAATACCAAACATTTTTTGAACATTTTTTGCTCATAATTTTCGGAGACTGTATGCAAACTGCTTACTTATGTAAATTTGTAGCTGCACTTATCTAAAAATAAAAGTAAACAGTATTGAAATCGTCGTTTTTTTCTGTAAATTTGGGACCGGTTATACGTGTAATGGCAAAGAAGTTGGTAGAGCCAAAAACAAAAACCGGAATAATGAATTCAAGAAGAATCCCAATAAATGCTGAGCAGGCCTTGCTCTTAAAACATTTAAAATAGAATATGCTGAAGTAATAAACTTAATGTCAAAATAATAAAATGGTCACGCTTCGTGAAAATATGTATTTTTGATAATAAATTATCAATTTAATTACAATGTTATAACGAATAACGCTTTGTACACTGAGAAAAATATATTCCGTGTTTTAAATAAATTATAAGAATTGTGTTGTTATAATTGTATTTATATAATTTAATGTTTAATGTAACAAGTTTTATAAACGCCATTTAAGACATAAATTGCGAGAGAGTGCTTAATTAAATGAGTGCCTAGAAAAGTTTATAAATTATAATTTAAATTAAATATTTGTATATATTATATATTATAAATCGCCATCTATACAAAAATAAGGTAACCATCCCAATAAACATTTTTGACGTAATTTTTAACATTAAAATTGCCCGTTATTATTATTATTATTAATTAAATTCAACAATTATTCATACTTTAAAATATTAAAATAACTTCAAAATATTATTATTTATGTTAAAAAAATATTTTATCTTTTATTTTTTTATTACTATAATTGCAAAATATTATCACAAAGTATTATAAATTCTTATACGGGAAATGTTAAAGGTACAAAAAGTGACAGTTGTATTTATTAGAATTCCTGCTAGAATTTCTAACTTGGCAATCTACCGACTAAAATGTCAAATTTTTCTGTGTAAATCAAAATGTATCCCTTTTGTATTGAGATAATAAAATAATTTTCACATTTAGTATTATTTTACAAGAAAGGCACTTTATTTTAACGATTGTATGACATTTGACAACTGTCAACCAACTTAAAGCTAACTTCAGCCCGTGACTAAAAACCTGTTGCTAACTTCAGCCCCTGACTAAAGCGCCATAACGCCACAACTTGTCAATTTAATATTATTATTATAAGGTTTACTTATACCATATACCACAGGTCTGTGGTATAAAAAGATTTATAATTTGCTTGTAATAATTTGTTAAAAACTATAAGCTATAAAACTGTTAAAATATTACATATTTAAAGATAAATCTGAAAATTAAACATTCAAAAATAAAATGACAGAAGTTGTAAAATTAAGATTTTTTATGAACGGCAAATATGCGTAGGTATATAAAATTATATTTAATGGGTAAATAAAACATTGAATTAAGTTTTCTAAAGAAAATAATTAGCAATGCAAGGCAACTAACCAATTTGCAAGTTAATTAAGTAAGTTTGACATTTAAAAACTCCTTATTCAAGTAATATAATATAAACTTCAATAAAACGTTTTTTGTCCAATGGAAATATTTTGTTTATTTTTTTAAATTCAGTACTCAAAAATAAAAATATGAAAAAAAAACCATAACAAATTGCTTAACTTCATAAATTGCGATAAACTTTTGTGGTGTTTTCTTTTACATATTCGCAATAAATCCAAACCGACAACAAACTCATTAACATGAAATGTGTCCATATAAAGAAACACAAAATATTTAAATTTCTCACTTTCTATAAACTATAATAAAAATTTTAATAATTAATTAAGATACTTATAATATTTATGTATCAATTCCCACAATAATTTCATAAATTTTAAAAACTTGGGCAACACTTTTTCTTTCATTACTTATTACTGCTGCAGCAGGAATCACTCACCTAATCTACAAACAGTCCTGCTACACTACAGCAACCATAATCCGAAATGGTAACACAAACAATCGGAAGCACAAATCATTGTTTATTTATTTTCCTGCTGGCTTCTACGAAGAATATCACTCACTCATATTGCGCGCACAAGTCTTAACCATCCTGCTGTCAGCACTACTGACTGCAGTCGCGAAAGACATATGAAAGTGCTCCTGCAAGAAATCGCCAGTCCTCGGCAGTGCCGAAGAAAGCCGATTGTCGTCTATTAACAGATAATTAGCAGGATTTTGAAGATGGCATTTGGGTGCAACTATGGTAAATTTTGCAGGAATATGTGACCTATGAAAAATGTGGTGTAACTGAAAAAGTGAGAAAGCTAGGCAATTAAAATTTTGATACGGTCTTTTTTGTGGTTTAAATTTGTTTCTTTAATGGTTTACTATTAATAAGTGGAATTTGAAAATATTGTAGTGGTAATTTACCACCTAATGTGTGTCTTACCGGGTAAGACCACGTTGCATTTTCAACGGCCCTGATAGCACACTTTATTCTAAGAATGTTTTTTAAACCTTCTAGTGAGAATATTCTTAGGATCATGATATATTTCTTCTAAAGAATATTCTTACTGGCCTTCAGGCAGGTTCTTAGAAGGTGCAAAGTTTTAGTAGTAAAAATTAGTCTACTCTAAACCAATGCTTAGAATTTTAAGAAAGTAATTGCTATTGAAAATTCATTTAGGAATATTCCTGTTAAGCATATAACAGTAAAATATACCATAAACTATGTATAAAGGTATATACCTATACTTAAGTACCTAATTAGTAATTAGAATTAAATACTAAGTAAAAAACACAATCCAAAATATTTTTTTATAGTTATTTGTCAAATTAAAACAATTTTCGATAACAAAAATACTTTTACTATAGGTATTTTATTTTATGTAAATATTCATTAATTTGTATACGGATTTATTATTTCTGAATTAACATTTTTATGTATAATAATCCTAACTATCTTCAACTTCAATCTAATCTGACTTATCCCACAAAATTTTCCAATTTTACTTTTTATAAAACAATGTCATACAACTTATGGTTTAGAGGTCAAATTGTTTATTTAATATTTTTAAATAAATATATATTAATATGTCGCAAAAATTTTTAAGGGGACGACAAATACATTTCACTGTCATATTATGACAGTGAGGCGTATTTGTCGTCTCCTGAAGAATTTTACGAAAATGGAATACAACATATTAGAACGTGGGTATCTGACATATTTGGAAATATTCTCAAAAGCTTCCTAGAAGCTCCATAAGAAACCTTCTAAGAACATTCCAAAAACGTATTCTTAAAATGTTCTTAGGATGCTTTTTAGGAAGGTTTTAAGAAGCTTTTAAGAATCTAATTGCATCATTAAAAGGGTATCTATTGAATGTTTTAAAAGTCCCTAAGAACATAATTAGCAATAAGGGAAGCTTCTAAGAATATTCCATTATTCCGGGTCATATATTCTTAAAAGATTCTTAAAATCAAATTTTGCTATCAAGGGGTTTGTTTGTATCGTATGTAACCAAAAGCAATATGTAAAGTTATATTTTTGTTCATTTTGCTTTAATAAATATAACATTTTTGTATTATTATTAAGTATTTTATTTGAATAATATTCTTTCTAAATACCACTTGTACTTAAAAATTAACCAAGGTTGTATAATTATTCGTTTTTAGAACTCGTGGAATTATAAACAACAGGGCTTTCATAATAGTATATTAAAGAACTAATGTCATAAGACGTCATTTTGTCGCACGCGAGTTTTCTAATGGACGTGCGACAAAAGGTCTTATGACATGACTTCTTTATGCTATTTTATCTATTTTGCAAAAATTCTATAAAAAAAATTAATTTTATACTTTAAATTTAATTTGGTCGAATTTTACTTTAGATAGTTGGTATCGCAGTCATTGGTTTGACAGTTAATGTAAAAATCGATTCGCCATGCCGTCCTTAATTTACTTATTTACGTTTACGTTAGTACTAGAAAAATCATAAAAATATTATAACCAATTTGCAAAATATTATGCTGTTTAAAGTATATAGCCAACCTATAAAAAACCTATAAAAGTTTATAGCCAACCTATAAAATTTTGAGTGGGATAAAGTACCTCATTACAGTACCGAAAGCGGTGTTATAATGAAGTCATTATGAACGCAAAATAGATAAATATAATTTTATATATTATTATATTTTTTTACAAATAGTTAAATGTGAATTTTGTTTTTTTTATAAAGCTATTGAAACATTTTATCGACGATTCAAAACTAAAAAGCAGGGTTTCCGATTCCATATTATATTATTGGTGGAAATATTAATTAATTTTCATGATAGGAAAAAAATAGTTTATAAAAATAATATTAAAGTTTTATATATTTATTATTATTATTATTTTGAAGCTATGCTTCTCATCGCAATTGTGGTGTGCTACCCACTCGCACCGTAGAATAAATTTCAATATGGTAGGACAAATTCACACAGTGGTTCAAAATTAAAAAATTGTGGAAAAAATTCAAAAAAAACTTTTTTTTTATTTGCAAGAATAACAATATTTTAAAAATATTTATTACCTATTTCTAATATTCACAAAATATTTGAAATTTTTAAAATTGACAAAATTTGTTAATTTTTTTAAAAATTTTGAATTTCCAAGATTATCAAAATTTCAAAAATTAAAAGCATGACTTTTATTTTGCATGTTAAACAAAAACTACCTTTCGATATAAAATAATATTTATATTATAAATAATAAATACATTTTTAATTAAAAACAGGAAACACTAATAAAAACGAAATTTTTTTTCATAATATTAAAGTTATACATATTAGCTTCCTTATTTGAATTGTTTCCATAATAACTGTAATAACTGAACAGTTAAAAAACATATAACCTAAAAGACAATAAAATTACAAATAAGTCATATTTCGGGAAAAAAATTTAGTCATACCTACATAAGCCCACATTAAAATGCAAATTTTCAACCTTAGTATTAAACTCACAGTTGCATAAAACTGACCAAATAATAAAAACTAAAGTAATCCAATACTTTCTAAAAATGCCAAGTATGCAAAATAAATCGTTTTTAACTTAAATCAGATGAAACACACTACAAACTTTCATTTGTTTTAGGTTTATTTATTATTTATATACGTTTAATTATTCTTTACCTGTAATTTTTCGCTCGACTTCATTAATCCAAAGAAAGCAATTTTCGTGTGTCATTTACACTAGTTAAAGTTTTTGCCCGATAAATGCATACTTAGTCACGATTTTTTTAGAATCTGAAAGTGCGAAACAATAAATTTGTTTTAAAAATTGTTAGCTATAGCTGAAAGTGAAAGATAGGCAAAAAATTATAGTCGTAATCTTATGAAATACAAACCATAGGTAATAATTAAAACTAATTTATCGGTCTTGAGTCGATTGTGTTAAGGATTCAGTGAATATTATTTTACGCTGAGAAAATAGGTATGCATAATGTATTTCCCAAGTTGTTTTTTTAAAAATGATTTGTTTACAGTAAAAAAACAATTTTGATAAAAATTCCGTTGTTAATCCATCCTCTATTGTTTTATAGATGACGCTCTAAACAAATATTTAATTTAAATGAGTTTTAGATAAAGTATAAAACAAATAGTTTTGATAAATGATTCAAAGGTCAACCTTTTCATCCTAGACTGTAAAAATACATTTTCTGCCAAATTATTTCTCTCAGTGTTTGTACGCATTACCCAGCACCTGCGCTACCGGCGTTTTAGTACTATTTTTTACATTTATTGAATGAACCACAAATAAGGATAAAGGAAATGATCTTTAATCTGCCTACATATGGTTTTGATTTATTTGGAATTAGTTTTAAATACCTAGTTTTAGAGAAAGTTTAATAACAATGTGATATTAAATAATTAGGATTTTAATATTTTGTTTTAGTGGTATTTTTATGTTTTTAATTTAATGTCCAAAATTTATAAGTAGCAAAAAATAATTATACAACATGGTTTGTTTATGGGTGAATCTCAAGATAAAAAAATATTTGTTCCCTAAACACATCCAAAGCAATCGAATCAAATATAAAATAATATTAAAAATTAAAAGAAATAATTTCTATAACCATTTATATAGGTGTTACAAAAATTGATTCTATCCTCCGTGAATCTGTTTTTGCTTTAAATTTTATGCGACGGATGGCGCTTTAATCATTTTAAATAAGCAAAAACCTCTGTTTACGACATTATAGATGCATGTGATTCCTGAAGGTCAGTTAGAATTTATATGCAGATGAGAGTGTTGCTGTTTTATAATTCAAAAGTTTAAGTTCATTAATTTGCTATTTAAAAACCTATCCACCGTGAAGTTTAATATCTCAGTAAGTAGATTTTTTTTATAAATATTTTATGTATGTACAATTGTATTTTTTTTAATATTAAGGTGTCAAAAGATACAATAACTTATTTCAAATATACAAAGGGATGTTTAAAAAAACATACGAAAACCTAACCTCCGTGAAACTATCTTCCGTGAAGCTCTAATTTTCAAAATGTATGATTTCTTAAAATTCTTGCATTAGTGCAGAACCACTTATGTTATGTTATTACTAGACCTGGTGGCTTCCCAAAAACCCCATTCTAGACTAACAGTGAAAAAAACAAAAATAAAAAATAATCATTTTCACTTGGGGGACATCTCATCTTAATAAAATGATAATTAAATTATCTAGATTTTTAAAATACAGATATCATTTAAAAGTTAGGTTTGAGAGATATATCAAAATTGGCTTTACATTTCTTGAGGGAGTTGAATAAAATCTTGTGTGCGACTATTGGTCAAAAGAGATTCTATATATATATATATATATATATATATATATATATATATATATATATATATATATATATATATATAAACCAATAGTCGCACACAATATTTTATTAATTAACTATTAGTCTAATAAAATTATAAAATTTGCATAAGACAAATTAGGTGTATCTACAGCAATTATAACCGACAATTATAAAATGTTTGGAAAGTTTGTCGGTTTTATCTAAGTCACAGTTTTAAGCATATTGCACAACTAAATGCTAATTAACGTTTTAATAAATTAATAAATATGCAGGTATTCAAATGGGTCCACTGAATATTATTATTAAATTGGCTTTTCAGATAAATAGTAGTTCATATTTGAAATATTTCAGTTATGAAGTTAAGTAATATGGAGTGATTTTAATTAAAAAACGTAACTTTAGTTTTGAAATTTTGTAAATTATGTTGATTTTAAAGTTTTTTGAAAATTTAAGTGGGTCGTTTTCAAAAAACACCCGCCTTCCGCTGTCCGTAAGTTTGAATTCCAATAACTTTGATAAAAATTATCGGATCTTATTGATTTAACAACCAAGTGAAAGCCTTACAAGCCCTTAGTAAACTCTTTCAGAAAATGTTTGTTTATTTATTTAAGAATAATTTTTTTTGAATTTTGAAACTTGTGAAACACACATTTTCGCATGTCCCATTAGCGTTTTATAAAACTTACATACATGGTTTTTTTAATATTGAATTACCAGAACTTTGTGTTGCTTTATAGCAATCCATAACATCCTTAGTTAATACAATAAACAATTTATATATAAAATAATTAATTTTCATATACTTTTTTTAAATTTGACTCATGTCCCAGACATTTTTTACGTTGCGTTACGTCTGTCGCGTTACCGATAGAATATTAAAAAAACATATATATGGCAACTTTTTTGGCACTCACGTGATCAACAAATGATGTTCGGACGTACACATTACCCAGCTGAATTTATTTATTCACTCAGGAAGAAGATATCGGTTGAAACAGGTGCGGGTAACGCGAATGTAATAATTGTTTGTCCGCTAAATTACTCAAAAAAATAATAAAAATAAGGTAAGAAAAAATACTATTTTTCAAGTTTTAAGTTTATTTTAGGGCACTAAAGCTCATTGAGAGTAATTAATGACTGTAATGTCTTATTATTATTTTTTAAATATGGTTTCACAAAACTTTGTCCACTGCGTTACCGAGTCCATTATGTTACCTTATGGTAACGCAATGGAATTTAGGGTAACGCAATAGAATTTTTCGACAACAAAGTGGATATTTACCGTCGCTTTTATTAAAAGTAGTTTGTGATAAACCAATTTAAAATTATTTGTGATTACAACTCATGATATAGATTACTTCCAAGGAAAAATTCCACGCAATATAAAAGTACTAAAAGGGACCTTCACCAGCTTATAGTCAAAGAAAAAGGGTGTCTACAATTTAGAAAATGATCCAAGTATGTTTGTGAATTATGCAATTTTTAGAAATGATTTAAATCAGGCAAACTGTTGAAACAATAAAAATTCTAGCTCTACAGAAGTGTTTTAATTACCATAAAAAGTTGAAAAATATTCTTCAATTTATCCGTACGACCCAGATGCAATTAATACAATTCGTAATGGAAATCGGTTACGAGTGTCTCTGAATTTAAAATAAATAAATTATGCAATTAATAATGTTATTATTTAACGTTTGCGAGGCCGGAGCAATAAAGGCCGGTATCGTACTTTAAACCATTGCACTTTGCTGTTGTTTGTGTCGTTTTGGTTCCATTTAACCGCAGACCTCTCACAAGTAAAAGTTGTCCTGAAATAAAATCAAAGCGAATTACAGGTTATTTTTAATTTATATGATACGGTTTTCAGCATAAGTGTATGCAACGTTTAAATTTTTATATATTTATGTAATACCCATATAAAGGGCTCCACAACTCATGAATACCAAGTTTAGAAATATTAAATATATTTTATTATAATTTAATTACTTACCTATATTTAACTTGTTTATTGGACTATTAATAACAACGAAAACATAATTATAAAACACTTTATTTATGATGTGAATATCACAGTATATTTACAATAAAACACTTACGCTTTTTTAGTAGTAAAAACCAAAGTAAATCCTCTTGTTAAGCTACCCTAAACAGTCTACATATTTAGTTACACATTTATTATTATTTAAGTAATAATATTAAAATTCATTAAATAGTTTCTTAATAATCTACGGTTTTTTCATCTGGATCGTTTTTAAGAAGTCGATGTGCAACTCAAGAAGCCTGTGTTCCGGAATTTTATCCGATAGAAATTTGAAGATTTTGACGTATGTATCATGTTTTCTTCTTTCAGACATATTGCTGAAGATGTTTTCCTGAAAGTCCAGGAGTTGTTTTGTACTTTTTAACGCCAACTCTTGGGCCAGTGTGTTTTCATTTGTAATCTTGGTACTTGTATTACTACTAGTACTAATGTTTGTTTCTGGGTATAATTCGCGCATAACTTCCAAAACTTTATCTTTACCATTTTTTTGTATGAAATCTTTTATATCGTTGGTTTGAATATTGCAATTGTCAAGTGCCGCTTGAACGTCGTGTTTTGGAAGGGAACTCAAAATAAAACTCGCAATTTTTACCTACAAAATAACAATCAAATAAAAATACAAAATTACAAAAAATGTATCCTGATAATTACCTTATCCTCAGCGATATTAAATAGCTCTTTAATCTGTTCATAGCTATCCTCCATGTTGACAATCTTTCTGAAATAATAGCTATTGAGCGCCTTGTAGACATTGGAAACCACAGGAGACTTAAAAGGCAACTTATTAACCTCTGTCTCTGTTTTGGAGGCCAAATTACCCACAGTTTTGACTTCATAACTTTCTTCAATTTCTTTCTGCCAAACGCCGGCCACCATGGGGTTTGTCATGGTCTTTAGAACCTAGAGAAAGAAATATTTTGAATTTTTCCTGATATATACAACTTGAAACTGAAATATCTCAGTTAGTATGCATTCTACTAAAATTTCCCTATTTTTTATTGCAGATTCGGATCATTCGACTAAAAATAGGTAGATTTTGATAAAATATTTTTTCATATTTGTAATAGATGGCGCTGTAATAAAAAAAATCAATTTTGTTCTTATACGATTCTGCAATAATTTTTCTATAAATATCACTTTTTTGGTAATAGTTATCTTAAATTAAATCTAAAGTTTTTTAAGTACCCACGATTTTTTAACTAATATTTAAGTTTCCTTTGGTTTAAATTTTATACATTATTTCATTATCAATTGCGCACCATGGTAACTTTTTACCTGCCAGCATTAAATCCTTTAATTTAAAGGATTATTGTACTATTTAAAAAAAATACCTCATTCAAGGTAAAAAACAATATTTTGTCAATTAATTAATTTAATCCTACTTGAGGTATAAAAAAATGGTATTTAGTTATAAATAATAATTATTATTGAGGTATAAATAAACTATTTATACATAGTTTATCATTATTTAATCAATTTAGTTTGAAGATTAATTTGCAATTAAAAAGACCTCCTTTCTTTAAGCAGTTATTCATAATGGATTACAGTACAGTCAAGCAGCTTACTATAAACGGGAGTGTTCAACCGAGAAAAAAAATCGTCGAGCAAATATTTAATATTGTTATGATTTCTGTCAAAAAAACCTGCATTATTATTAATATATTTTTAATGAGTTTTTAAATTATTTTCATCCTTTTAATATCAGGTAATTGTATTATAATTTTGTATTGTAATTATTTCTTCAAATAGTGCTGAATGTGACATATATTTCTTTTAAATGTTTATATAATGAAATAAATAAATATATTATCATTATTATTATAATATAATAATACCTTTAATACATCATCCTCGCAGTTAACTAAATTTGGATAAATGGGTTTTGTGTTGTCCAAGAGAAAATCATTTAATTGCTGAAGGCTGGATTCCGACTCCGCTGTATCCGTATCCATGTGCGAGTAGGTGTAATCCGAATCCAAACAGTCGGATATTAAATTATTTGAGGAGGTGGATGATTCGCTGAACAGGACTTTTTTCTTCTAAAATTACATCCCTGTACTTGTAGGACTAAACAAATAAAATATCTTACCTTAGCGCAAGGTAAACTCTCATCATCCGTCACGTCGGAGATCTTTCTTTTCAATATCCCACTTTTGGGGACGGCAAGGGGGCTGGGAACGGGCCTGGTGAACCTGTAAACATCCTCCAAGTCTTCCTTATCGAACTCCTCCTGCAAGTTGACGCCCTTGGTGGCGAACGGCAACATCTTCATCATTTTGGAGCTGGACGGAGACATCATCGGATCGGTTTTCTTGAGTAGCAGTCGCTTGTACGAAGATACCGGTTCGATTTCTTCGTCTAGGTCCTGTTCATTTTGGCTGCTGATCGGGGAGATGTCCAAAGTATCGTCCAGAAGTTCTTTGGTTTTGATTGGAGTGTCTCCGGTCACGGGAGAAGTCGGGATGGTCAACTTTGCCGATACAGGAGTGCTGGGTAAGTTATCCTCAGAGTCTCTTAAAGGAGACGATGTTAAATCGTCATTAATGACAGTTTTTTCTTCGGATAAGTTTTTGGACGACGTCTGGAAAACCAGTTGATCCGAGAGCAACGTAACCGTATCCATTTGACTCACAAACTGCTCGGAATCAGTCAAAGTTGGTCTCTCAGGTAAATCCAGCTTCATAACATCCTTTATGACCATTTTCCTCAAATTTGAATCGGTGGAATCGGCTTCTGATGGCGTGACTGTATCTCCAGATCCGTCGCTGTTGTAGGATCTCGTAACTGGACTTATGGAGGTTCTGCTCAGTTTTTTGGGAGAACTTATTGGGGTTATGCTGACAGTGGTATCTTGCGAACTTTCTATTATATCTTCTGTTTCTTCTTGTGCAGGCATATTGAACTTCTCCAAAGATACCGTTAAATCCTTTGCTTTATTAGCCGTGTCTTTGTTTTCCTCATTCGGAGATACGCCTTTCCTGTTCCTGGCCCGCATCTTTCGATCGCAAATATTGTTCAACGATAACTGAGACTTATCATTGACAGGCGGATCCATAGATTTCCGCATTTGTTTATTTATCGAAGAATCGGAACTATCGCTTTCCTGATTACTTGCTGCGACATCGCTTTTCCTCTTTGACCGCCTCCTCGATTTTTTGGCCCCAATCAACTTGGTCTCCTCTGTTTTAGGATCTTCAAGGTTGGGTTTCAGATCTTCAGGGTTTGGTTTTAAATCTTCAAAAATTTCTGGTGCGGTAGGATCTTTAATTAATTCCTTAACATTTGTTTCTGCCGCTGTTAAACCTTGTTTAGATTCCAAAGCCTTGGTCTGCCTCGGTCTCCCTCTACCTCTTTTTGTGGGAGTAACATCACCTTTGTCGGGAAGTACGGAGGTACTAGCAACAACTTTAGTCGGAGAATTATTAATCTGGTTGTTAGGAGCCACTACACCTATTTTGGCTAAATCCTCCAAATCCTTTCCCTTGCTTCTTCTAGTCAGTCTTGGCAATGATACTGGTAATGATACTGGTAACGCAACCTCGGGCAATTCAGTTGATTGTATAACATCACTGTCGTTTTCCAATGGCGTTTCTTTATTTATTTCTTCAGTCTTATCTTCTACTGGTTCCTTACTCCTTCTCCTAGATCGATATTCTATCTTCAATTGACCTCCGTTGGTGGTAGTTTCAGATTCTCTGATTTCTTCAGACATTCTGCTGCGACTTCTTGAAGTTCTATGTGGTTCTTCTTCCACTCTGGGGGATACATCACTTTGTTCAGTTTTTTCTTCACTTGACTTAATTTCATCTCCTTTAGATTCTTCTTTTTTGTCAGCCTTTTTTGTTGATTTTTCTTCTTTGTTTTTTTTACTTCGCGACCTCCGTTTCTTGCTTTTTTTCTTCTTTTCAGAGGTATTATCAGTCCCCTCTTTAGATTCTTCCTTCTTCTCAGTTGATTTTTCTTCTCTGGTTTCTTCAGCTTGTGCCACATCACTTTTTATACCGCTAATGTTCTTCTCATTGCTAGATTTACTTTCATCTTCTTTGAGTTCTTCATTTTTAGTTTGTTCTTTGTTTTCTTCAGTTTTTAAACCTTCTATATCCTTTGTTTCACTGGAATCATCATCTTTTTTTAATTCTTCTTTTTTATCATCGCTTTTGGTTGATACATCAGCTGGTCCATGTTCTTTGTTTTCTTCATTTGGAACCACTTTGTTCTTTTTACCTCGTTTCTTCTTTTTATTGGTCTTATCTATATCCTCTTTGGATGCTTTCTTGTCCTCATAATTCTCAGCTGATGATTTTTCTTTGTTTTCTTCAATTTGTGTCACATCACTGGACTTATCTTCATCTTCTTTGGATTCTTCCATTTTTGTTGATTGCTGTTCTTTATTTTCTTCATTTGGCGCCACATCACTTTTCTTCTTTTCACTTATCTTCTCAGTCTCCTCTTTAGATTCTTCATCTTCCTTATTATCACCCTTCTTTGCTGATACATCAGTTGATTGGTCTTCTTTATTTTCTTCATTTGGTGCCACATCACTTTTTATACCTCTTTTCTTCTTTTCACTTATTTTCTTAGTAGTAGTAGTAGTAGATTCTTTAGCTTTGGATCCTTCCTTTTTATCATCCTTTCTTGCTGATACATCAGTTATTTGGTGTTCTTTATTTTCTTCATTTGGTTCCACATCACTTCTTATACTTTTTTTCTTCTTTTCACTGGATTCTTCCTTTTTATCATCTTTTTTTGCTGATACATCAGTTGATCGGTGTTCTTTATTTTCTTCATTTGGTGCCACATCACTTTTTATACCTCTTTTCTTCTTTTCACTAACCTTTTCAGTATCCTTTTTTGAATCTTCATTTTTCTCAGTTGATTTTTCTTCTTTGTCTTCTTCAGTTTGTGCCACATCACCTTTTCTACTTCTAGTCTTCTTTTTATCACTGGTCTTATGTCCATCTTCTTTGGATTCTTCTTTTTTATCATTATTTATAGTATGTTCTTTGATTTCTTCATTTACTGCCATATCACTCTTTCTACCTCGCATATTTTTCTTATCTGCATCCTCTTTAGATTCTTCTCTTTTTCTAGTTCTGGTGGAAGTCTCAAGAATAGTTTCCATGTTTAATCTCGCCAAAACCCTGCTTACTTTACCTTTATTAGTATTTCCGTTTTGGGTATTATCTTCTGTATGTCCAGAAGTGTTTGGCTTATTTTCTTCCACGATATTATCAGCTGTATCGCTCGATTCATTGTTGTTTTCGGTTTGTTTATTTTCCATATTTTCCGACATTTCAGCCGAGAAATCGTCCATAGGTTTTGGTTCCTCATTATTAGATAAAGCCTCATCTATTTTATCATTTATATAATTCACTATATCATTGTCAGTCTCCATATGGTCACCATTTTGATTATTATGGGATTCTTCACCATTTTCCGTACTTTCGTTATTTAAAATATCATCCATTAAAATAACTTTTGATTGCACATCGTTTTCATCCTGTAAATCAACTATTTCTCCAGCATCTTTCATTTCAGAGTCAACGTCTTCATCATCATCGATAACTGGCGAAATTTCGGAAGATTTTTCTTCCGAACTTTCACTTTCCATGGCCTCTACTGCCTTTAAACTTCGTATGACTCTTGGACCCTTCAGTAGAACATTCTCAATGACATTTATTGTTCTTAAAGGCGAATTAAGTTTCTCTTTTTTAGCCGGCAATTTATCCAACAAGCTGCACTGTATTTTTAGCAGTGATAATATATTTTTAAGGTGGCCCAAATCGGCATCACTTACGGCATTTTCTTTTGTTGTTATGTCTAGTAAGTTTGTCGACAATGAGTTTGAAAATACCGTTTTAACGTTTTGTGGGGCGATGTCCAGAAAATTCGCGAGATGTTCCAAAATTTGATATTGATTTGATTTCAGTATAATTTCAAGGCATTTGCACATTTTAGTGAACACTTCTTCATTTTTGCCTTCAAAGTAGAATGTCAGGAGAGGGTTTAGATACATTTTGAAAATTTGGCATAGTTTTTGCCTACTTTCACTTTGTAAATCTTCGTAGGAAAATAGCAATAGTAATATATCCATCACCCTAGTAACTAGAGAAAAAATGTTATTTGTAATTTGTGGGGAAAATGTGAAACTTACCAAAGTCCTTCTTAAAATCATCGCTATTTTCGCTAATAAATTCCATTGCAATTAAAATGTTTAAAAAATATGAAGCGTTGGATCTAAATAATTCTTCCAATTTGTCCAAGACTTCAATCTTATTCAAATCTGAATCTTTGGTTACTTTTTTGTATACGCTTATCCAATTGTTGTAAATATCCTTAAAAATGATATAAAGCAAGACGTATCAAAAGAGTATAACTCTTACCTGTATTTTCCCGTCATCAATTTCCACATAATACTGCACGGGCCACATTAAGTACGAAGAATATTGATGGTCCTCGTTATCGTGTATATTCAACAAAATGTGTTTTGCGAACGTCACCCAAAAATCGCAGGCCAACGAAAGGTTTATGTCTTGTTTCGGTGCGATTGTATTGAACATCGACAAATAGTATTTAAAATTTTTGGCGTTCTCCATGCTGCAGTTTATTATGCTTTTGAACGTTTTTGAGTCATAGTTTCTAAAAAAAAATGTTGTTTTTGTAATAACTATTTTTTTATCTTGGTTTCAGATATAACTAAAATCCTTATTTGAAGAGATAAAACATATTTCTTCCATGATTTAAAAAAATAATATTTAAGAACTAAGAAGTTCTTCCAAGGGTTCAAGAGTTATATAAACTTTAGAAGCAGTAGAGGACATGGAAAATGAAAGTTCAGAAGAAAAATATTCCAAATTTTCTCCAGTTATTGATGTTGATAAAGATGTTGATGACTCTGAAATGAAAGATGCTGAAGAAATAGTTGATTTACAGGATGAAAACGATGTGCAATCAAAAGTTATTTTAATGGATGATATTTTAAATAACGAAAGTACGGAAAATGGTGAAGAATCCCGTAATAATCAAAATGGTGGCCATATGGAGACTGACAATGATATAGTGAATTATATAAATGATAAAATAGATGAGGCTTTATCTAATAATGGGGAACCAAAACCTGTGGACGATTTCTCGGCTGAAATTTCGGAAAATATGGAAAATAAACAAACTGAAAACAACAATGAATCGAGCGATATAGCTGATAATATCGCGGAAGAAAATAAGCCAAACACTTCTGGATATACAGAAGGCAATACCCAAAACGGAAATACTAATAAAAGTAAAGTTAACAGGGTTTGAACATGGAAACTATTCTCGAGACTTCCACCAGAACAAGAAAAAGAGAAGAATCTAGAGAGGATGCTGATAAGACCGGTGAAAAGAAAAAAATGAAAGTTTAAAAAAAAATCCTCCAAATTTTCTCCAATTGTTGATGATGATGACTTTGAAATGAAAGATGATAAAGAAATAGTTGATTTACAATATAAGAACGATGTGCAATCAAAAGTTGCTTGCTATGAAATATTTTTTTTTATAAGAAATCAAACAAATTTTTGAATGTCGAAATTAAAAAAATATTCGATTTTTTTAACCACCCTAATGTATAAATTATGTAAACTTACCTGTTGGCATTTTTTGAGAATATTATAGGAACTAAAATATTTGACGTATTTTTAAAAGTAAGACTGTTCATTTTAAAATCTTGTGCTATAACGGCATAAAATACGTTTGTTATAATTACTTTATCACCTGATGCATCCTAAAAGACAGACATTAATTATATAGGGTGAACGAAATAAAAAACTTGTAAGAGGGTTAACCTTGATAAAATTGTAAGAAATAGTTTTAGTAATATATTCCAAGTTTTTATCAATTTACAGCAGTTATTTTAATCAATAATTTTTAAGTTCAAAAAATCCTTCAAATGGGCAAACTTAATTAGGGTAACCCCCTTAAAAGTGCATGTAAATATTTACCTTAGAAACCCCATTCAAAACCAAACAAATAGTTTCCAAGCATTTGCTTCTTACATTATCACTGCTTTTATTCAACAAATTCAGTAGGCTCTCCCATAAGCACTTGATGTTCTAAAAACCAAATATTTTCACAGCCAATATTTCACGTGATATAATAGGTGTTTTATACCTGATCCCGATTTTCGAACTGCGACGAATTCAATAGAGAGCAGCATTCGGCTACGGATTTGATTACGGCGGTGCCTAATTGAGCGATATTTTCACTATTCACCACTAACGGGTCAAAGTTGAATTGTTTTTGCATACAATTGTCAGTGTGCCCTTAAAACGAAATATTATGGTAAACAATCAATAAACAAACAATACAAATGGTACATCTAAAAATGTTAGATGCTTGTATTGATTAAAAATTTATTGGGCCAACAAATATTAACCATCTTTTGTGCATACTTTTTATTGCTACCATTTAAATATTATAGGTATGTGTAATAATATCATTTGGTCTATTTTTAGATTGGAAAAATACTATTTACCAAGTTTATTTACTACAATACATTTTTGTTATCCGAACATACATATTTTCAGGATAAATATTTATTGTATATTTTAACTATTTATTGTGTTTTGATCTTTCATAATTAAGTAGATATTAGCTCAGGTTCCAGATTTTTAACCGCAATTAATTATTTTTTTATAATGTTTTAAAAGTCTAAAACCTATCCTCCGTGACTGTTACTCTTTCTAGGTTAACCTATATGTTTTCAAATATCTGGGGTAGTAAAAGCTTACTAAAAATATCAGTTCATCCAAAGCAATCGAATCAAATATAAAATATTATTATAAAATAAAAGAAATAATTTTTAAACCATTTATGTAGGTGTTACAAAAATTGATTCTCTCCTCCGTGAATCTGTTTTTGCTTTAAATTTTATGCAACGGATGACGCTTTAATCATTTTAAATAAGCATAAACCTCTATTTACGACATTATAGATGCATGTGATTCCTGAAGGTCAGTTAGAATTTATATGCAGATGAGAGTGTTGCTGTTTTATAATTTAAAAGTTTAAGTTCATTAATTTGCTATTTAAAAACATATCCACCGTGAAGTGTAATATCTCAGTAAGTAAATTTTTTTTATAAATATTTTATGTATGTACAATTTTATTTTTTTTAAATATTAAGGTGTCAAAAGATACAATAACTTATTTCAAATATTTAAAGGGATGTATTAAAAAACATACGAAATCCTAACCTCCGTGAAGCTCTAATAATCAAAATGTATGATTTCTTAAAATTCTTGCATTAGTGCAGAACCACTTATGTTATGTTATTACTAGACCTGGTGGCTTCCCAAAAACCCCCTTCTAGACTAACAGTGAAACAACCAAGAATAAAAAATTATCATTTTCACTTAGGGACACCTCAATATATTCACCCCTACCTACTACCTACTATTTGTTATTTTTATTATAAATTTTTTTTGTATATTTCCAAAATATTATATTGGATGTAAGTTTTTCTTATTTTATTATTTAGGTTTTTTTAAATATTTTTAATATTTTGTATGGTACATTTTTTTGTACAAAATCAATTTTTTATTAAAATATTTAAATCTATAATTTTTTTAAATATATAATTTATATAAGTTTATGTTTATATTTTTTTAAATTGATAAATTTCCAACATTGTAAAATTTAAATAATAATTTGCAAAATTTTTTTGATTTATTTACAATATTTTTTTAATAATTGTTATTCTGTGCAATTTTTTAAATTTTTAATATTACTAATATTTTATTTTATAATGTTTTTACATTATCTTATGATTTTTTAAAATAACTTAGTTATTATTATTATTATAAGTAGTTTTAAATTGTTGAAAAAATTGGGAAAACTTTTTTCCCAGGCTTTTTTTGGGAAAAACTCAATTTTTTTGGAAAATATTCATGTTTAAAAAAATAGCAATCAACAACTTAACATTATTTTAATTACAAAAAAAATAAAACTAAACATTGAATTAAATTAAATTAATTTAAGAAAATAAACGGAAACGTAAATATAATTAGTATTCAGTGTTGGAAATTTTCAGAATTTTTTTTTACGTTCTTTCGTATTATTTATTATTTGAATAAAATAAAAAAAATGTAAAAGTCAATTTTTCTGAAAATTACCCAATTTTTTCGTTATTTTCCGAAAAATTTTTTTATTTATAAATGAAAACATGTCATAAATCTGTTGGTAAAAGGCATAAGGGGATAAGTCAAAAAAAGCAATTTTTCAGAAGAGCCTTAAACGTATTCGCATTAATTCAGGAAACATATTTATGGTTAGCGGGTATACCCTTTTGTTAGCACATGTCATATGCTAACAAAAGCGTATACCCGATAAACACATATTTCCTGAATTAATGCGAACACATTAAAGGCTCTATTGAAAAATTGCTTTTTTTTGACTTATCCCCTTATGCCTTTTACCAACAGATTTATGACATGTTTTCATTTATAAATAAAAAAATTTTTCGGAAAATAACGAAAAAATTGGGTAATTTTCAGAAAAATTGACTTTTACATTTTTTTTATTTTATTCAAACCCCTTATGCCTTTTACCCATAGAAATGATGAATGAAATGAAAAAATATCATAACTTATTTGTATATATTATTGCCCACATTATTAAGTACATCTATTTTTTTTCAGAATAGAGTTAATTTCTGAAAATAACCCTGATATAATATCAAATAAAACCCTTATTAAAACTTACCTAGCATCTCCAAAAGCACAGTGACAATCTTCTCCCACAACACTTGCACCTTGATCCCCTGGCCGTTCTTGTTCGGATCCGAGTTGGCGCCCACCGGCCCGAAACAAAACTCCATGAACTCAGTGAAGCACAGCGCAGCTTTGTCGCGCAGCTTCTCCAAGAGATAAACGAACACCTCGAAGCGTTTGACGATCACCTCCTCCTGCTTGGAGAACTTCGCCTTCAGCGGCGTCATCAGCAGCTTCAGCTGCTTCGGGCTGGACAGGTAGGCGGGGCTAAGGCTCGCGTTGTTTATCAGCTCGATCCAGCAGTCGTAGCCGCGCAGCCTCTGGCTGCAAGAGTGGTTGCGAAACGCGTACTCCACCACCCGCAGCAGTATGTTCGTCAGAGCCATCGAGTGGTGCAATCTTTTGTTGCAGAAGCGGATTATTATCACCCACAGTTTGTGCCAGTTTTCGTACTCCTTGTCGCGCAGGTCCAGAATCGCCTTTATGTAGGTTTTAGAGACCGATGCCGAAAAAATTTCGAACTCTTCATCTGTTAAATCGCAGATAATCGCCAACGGGAGTATGGTGAACGAAATATTAATCAAAATATTTCTTATATCATTCTCAATATCCATATTCATTATGGATGGTATTATAAAATTCATAAACAATTTTTTGCATTTTCCTCGTGTTAAATCCTCTCTGCACAACTTATCAAAAGCATTTTCAAACTAAAATATAATAAGAAGATCTGTTAAAAAGGCAAATAATACTTAATATTATCCAAAAAATGATTTAAACTAAATGTTTGCATAAAGCGCCATCTATACGAAAATAAAGTAACCATCCCAATAAACATTTTGACGTACTTTTCACCCTTAACATTGCCCGTTATTATTTTAATTAAACAATTATTGATACTTAATATAACTTTAAAGTATGATTATGTTAAGAAAATATTTTGTATTAGAAACGAGGTGCATACTATCCATTTTTCTACGACAAATTCTTATTTTTATCTTAAAATGATTTAAATCAAAAATTTGTATAGAGCGCCATCTATGAAACAATAAGGAAATCTGTGTGTCACCGTCAAATGTCAAATGTTTCTACTATATAAACACAATTATAAAGGTTATAAATCGAAATGTATTTCTTGAAAATTGACAGTTCTTCACAGTGAAAGTAAAGAAAATGTTTTATGAGCACTTTACAGTGGAGTCAGTGCCCGAATTTAAGTTATAGTTTACTGCCGGCGAAATTAAAACGTCAGTACAATGTTCATATAAACTTTTCAAATATTGTCGTTGAGAAACTATTTAATACTTTTGTATTTTTGTATTGAGAAAATAAAATAATTTTCAAATTTATTAGGTAGTAATATTTTACAAGAAAGGCACTTTATTTTAACGATTGTATGACATTTGACAACTGTCAACTAACTTAAAACTAACTTCAGCCCGTGACTAAAAACCTGTTGCTAACTTCACCCCGTGACTACAGCGCCATAAAGCCACAACTTGTCAATGTGTATTTAAAAGTTCACTTAGTGTCATGGAAACATGTACGATAAAGGGCGTTTTAAAGGTGGGAGTAGAAAAACTATTAAATACTTTTGTATTTTTGTATAGAGAAAATGAAATAATTTTCACATTTATTAATATTTTACAAGAAAGGCACTTTATTTTAACGATTTTTATGACATTTGACAACTGTCAACTAACTTAAAACTAACTTCAGCCCATGACTAAAGCGCCATAAAGCCACAACTTGTCAATGTTTATTTAAAACGTCACATGGAAACATGTACGATAATGGGCGTTTTCTACTATACCTACTTGGGTTACACAAAATTTCATTTTTTTAATATTATTGTTTATGTTTAATTGTACCAAAGTAGCTTTCTAAGAACCTAACAATAGAATGTAATAGGTATTTTGTTTTTGTTTTCTAGAGATTTGAATTTATCATTAAAATGCATAATATAATGATATTATTTAATATATTATATTAGTTATATATAAATAATATTGATTGATATATCAAGGCTTTTACACCTTCTAAAATTTCAGATAGATAACCTTAATTATTTATATTCAAATGTAAAAAGTGGGACTGGACCATGGTACATTTTGCCTTTTTGTGAACTTTGGCTTTGTTATGTTATGTTATGTTATGTTATGTTATGAAGATATTGAAGCTAAATCAAAAGTGATACTTATTTATATTTTTTTAAGAATTATTTTTTTTTCTTATTTTTTTAGGAAAATGACATATGGTAGGCAGATTCTGTCAATTTTGAGTTTGAACTCTTTGTGTAGGCTTCATGCACTAGTGATTTAAACATGACAACCCTGCATTGACATGGTTAAAATAGTATATTAAAGAACTAATGTCAAAAGGTCTTATGACATGAGTTCTTTATGCTAATTTATCTATTTTGCAAAAATTCTATAAAAAAAATTAATTTTATACCTTACTTAAATTTAATTTGGTCGAATTTTACTTTAGATAGTTGGTATCACAGTCATTGGTTAAATATACAGTTAATGTCAAAATCGATTCGCCATGCCGTCCTTAATTTACTTATTTACAATAAGCGGCTGTTAATGTTAAAGAAGAAAAAAAGAATTTTCTTTGGTGTTAAAAAATTTTTTTTGCCAGAAAAGTCTCATAAGTACTATAAAAATCATAAAAATATTATAACCAATGTGCAAAATATTATACGTTTAAAATATAGCCAACCTATAAAATCAAAATTTGAAAGCAGTGTTATAATGAAGTCATTATGAACGCAAAATAGATAAATGTATTTTTGGACAGTTTGTACTTTTCATTTTTAAAACTTTTTTAAAAATTGATCTTGTCTTTTCACATAAAACATTAAAATAATAAAATCAGTGCATATTTATATAAATTGAATATATCAATTATATTATTATTTATAAATTATTTATTTTTTATACCTTTGATGTTTAAATTTAGATAAATTTTATTATCCTACAGTCATTTTTTATATAAAAATACCTACAACAAATTTGTATTTATAAAATTTAAAAAATATAGCTTTAATTTGTTATATTTTTTTTATAATAAGTGAAATACAACTTATTTTAGTTAAATAATTGATCAAAAATGAGTGCCTTTGTCTTAATTAATAACAAAAACGTTTTTGGTACTTATTTTGTTTCTCACCAGTTCTAAATTGTAATTTTTCCATATGACCACCGAATCCTGTATATTGAAACCATTATTTTCAATTGCCTTCAAAATGCTTCGCCTTATAGCCTGATTTAATCCTTGCTGCAAACCAGGATCATTTTTTATAACAAACTCCTTTAAAACGGAATTTAAATTATCATCATTCGATATTTTCAAGCAGTGTTCCAGGAAATCCAATGCTGCATCAGCAACTGCACTGCCTGGTTCATCAATTAAGTTTTTCCTCACTACACTCAAATGCATGTTAAAAAACCCCACATCAATGCACACTTTATCATCCAAATGCTTTTGGATGTGCAATTTTAGGTCCTTGTAGTGTTTGCATCTCTGGGATGCAGGATCCATCATTAAAACTTGATTAATTAATAATATCCTTATTACTGCATTCCAACGCGAAACTCACTAATTTACGTGCTGAATTCGCTTGTACACGAGTTTTTAAACACTGGGCGGCCCCATTACAAACCGATAATAACAAATCCAATATTTTCAGACAATAATGATTAAAAAGCGTAAACAACCCTAACCTTACTCGTCTAATCTTAAATCACGACAGGCAACCATCAATACATGCGAATGCGAAACAATGCGAAAAGTCGATTCGCTGTACCTTAACCAACCACCCTATAGTACACCAGGGTTTTTTTGACCACCCTTTTAAGGAGAGTGGTACAATATAAAATATCCAAATAACTTCAGCGTATCGATTACATTTTTTTTGTAAATATCAACTAAATAGTAAACAATAAATAAAAATTTCAGTTCACATGTGCACATTTTATTTATGCACAACGGCAACGCCGGCATTTGAATACAAATTTGCGATATTTATTGAACTGCTGCAATCAGCAAAAATAAATCAAAACAATTCAAATTTTTAATAGTTTGTTACTAAATTATTTTATCGACGTCCTATTTATAAAATGCCGAGATTGGTAAAATTTTGTTCCTAAAAACTTTTGTAGTGGCAGCATCCTTTTGACAGGTCAATCTCCCGCGCTCAAAGTGTTTATTTTAATACTGTTTTAAACAATGATTTTGGCGTGGTTTTTATAATTTCTTTGGTTAAACTGTGAATTAATATACAACTGTGATTAATAGTGCTGCAATGAGCAACGCAAAGGAACGGTGTAAAATTTATACGGACTCAAAATTATCAATTCAAAAAATATTGTCTAAAAAAGACGATATCGACGAAAATGTTATTAAAAACCAGTTAATTTTGATCAAAAACGATCTTATATCGCCCAAAGACGAATCTGTAAGGAGATCAGCTTTAGAAATGCTGGAATTTTTAGTTGATAACGTGAAATCCGTAATACTTGAGACTGAAGTTATTAAATTGGTAAATAGCCAAATTTTAAGCCAAAACACCAAAGATTGCATTGTTTTGGCATTAAAAGAGTCCATTTTCAAGTCTGTACAAAACGACACCTTTAATTTGACTCAACTATTAGCCCTATGGAAAAATCAGAACATTTTAAAGGTAAGTCATTTTTTTGCTTGTAACACAATAATAAAAATATTATTTTAGTTGGTTAGTATTATTGAGGAGTTATTTAAAGAAGATTTGTCCAAAGAAATGACCAAAAAAGTTTTCCTCAACAATATTATACCTGATTTAATGAACATTAACACAAACAATGAAATACGAAACGTCTTAATAGTAACAGCTTATAAGTTAATACATTTGGTACCGAGTTCAGAATTAACTACGGCTGACTATCAAGAGTTTGTTAAGTCTGTTACCAATACATACATAAAATCAATATCGGAGCTAAGAGAAAAGGATTACGAGAACTGGCACAAGCTATGGATTTTTATTGTGAGGTTTTGTGGTGTTAACATGCATAACACCATGGAGCTAACCAACAAACTTCTACGAGTCGTGGAATATGCATTCAGAAATCAAAATTGCGACCAAAGATTGAAAGGTTACGACTGTTGGAAGGAACTAATCGACAATGCAAGTTTGAACCCACAGTACTTGACAAGCTCCAAACATATTAAGCTACTTATTACCCCACTGAAGGCTAAATTCTCAAAACAAGCTCAACTGATTGTGAAGAGGTTCGAGGTTTTTGTTTATTTACTGTCTAAATTGGGCAATAAGGCTGTAATGTGCTTGAATGAATTTTTGGAGTTTTGTTTCGGACCTGTTGGGAAAAATTCCGATCCAAACAAAACTGGGCAAGGAAAAACTCTGGACACTTTGTGGGAAAGAAGCATTTCAGTACTTTTGGAATTATTAGGTAAGAATTGAGATTTTACATATATTTTAGTTTTAGGTTCAATTTTGTTTTTAATATTTTATTTTTTATGTCTAAAGGGTGTAATGAGTTTTAAAATAAGAAGATAAAATTTATTGCCAAGTTTTTTAAATGGTATACTTAATTTGATCCTATTTTTTGTTTAATTACACTTATTTTAGGCCATGATGATCATTGTTTGGTAAAGGAGTGTAATTTTGACTCTCCAGTTATTAATGGAGAAAATATTGATGGTTTATGTCATATAATCTCCAAATCCATCCAGGAATGTAGCTTAATCTTAAAGAATGATACATTTGACTCAAAAAGAGAGGTGGTAAGTTTTTTTGGAATCTAAAATATATTTTTTGATAAAATATTGTTTTTATTTTAATTATAGTTGATTCAATGCCTTTGGAGATCATTATTTAACATTATAACTCAGGCAACAGAAGACAAAATTGAAATATGCACTGAAATTTTAGTACCAATTTTGAAAAATTTAAAAAAAGAAGATAAAGATGTTCACATAAAAAATTGCGTTTTTCCTACCATATTTTCAGCAATTATTATCAAAGATACTTATTTTACTAAATTAATTTTGACAAAAGCCTCAAACATACTTCTGCCATTTATTTTTGAAAATAATACAAAGTAAGTAACAAAAACATTAAATTACATTTTTACAAGTTTTATATATTTTTAGTATAAATTATGACTACAAACTTTTCCAAAACATAATAACCAACACTTTGGTAAATAAAGACATTTTCCAAGAATTTTTAAATTACTTTGGAAAATCCAAAATCAACGACGAAATCAACTTACCGCTATGTTGCGATTCTTGGATTGCTTTTTATAGCTGCGTTGCTCTGGAAGTACACAATTTTGAAAACAGCAATTTTTATTCATACCTGTTATGGCCTTTGAACTATTTTAACCAAATGTCAAATGTACAATTAAAGGTAAAATTGTGCCCCTAAAATATATACTTTATTTTAATTTGATATTTTTAGGATATTAAGAATGCCTGGGTAAATTTATACCTAAAGCTTACCAAAAATTCCTATACAGACAAAATAAACATCTTAAGGGAAATTGAGAAATTATTCAAGCAAAATCCTATGCTAATATCAAATATTGTTCTTAGTATTATGCTGATAACACAATTTGAGACTGACTTTAACAAACATTTTGGTAAGTTATTTTACAGCATTACAAATTTTTAGTGTCGAAAAAAACCGGGAAAATTGTGGGAAAAACTGTTTTTGCCGTTTTTTCCCAGACCTTGGAAAAATTGTCTTTTTTGGGAAAAATTCAATTTTTTTTTTGGAAAATATACACATTTTCAAAACAGTAGCAATTAACAATTTGACATTATTTTAATTTAAAAAAATATCTTTTATTACAGAAAATAATAAAAATTACAAAATAATGAATGATTTATAAAGTTACATTACAAAATAATAATTTTATAAATTAAAGTGTCAGATAAAACGAAAGTTATATTATATGGGTGAATATATTGAGATGTCCCCCAAGTGAAAATGATTATTTTTCATTTTTGGTTTCTTCACTGTTAGTCTAGAATGGGGTTTTTGGGAAGCCAGTAATAACATAACATAAGTGGTTCTGCACTAATGCAAGAATTTTAAGAAATCATACATTTTGAATATTAAAGCTTCACGGAGGTTAGGATTTAGTATGTTTTTTAAAAACATCCCTTTGCATATTTGAAATAAGTTATTGTATCTTTTGACACATTAATATTTTTTAAAAATACAAAAATTTAAAAAAAATCTACTTACTGAGATATTACACTTCACGGTGGATAGGTTTTTAAATAGCAAATTAATGAACTTAAACTTTTGAATTATAAAACAGCAACACTCTCATGCATATAAATTCTAACTGACCTTCAGGTGTCACATGCATCTATAGTGTCGTAAACAGAGGTTTTTGCTTATTTAAAATGATTAAAGCGCCATCCGTTGCATAAAATTTAAAGCACAAACAGATTCACGGAGGATAGAATCAATTTTTGTAACACCTACCTAAATGGTTATAAAAATTATTTCTTTTAATTACTTAGTGAATGATATTTTTAGTATGCTTTCACTACCTCAGATATTCACGGGGGACATTTCGTGAGATTCACCCATATTATCCGTAAAAATTGGAAAACTTTCAAAAAATTGACTTTTGCATTTTTTTCGTATTACCCTTAGAATAAAATGAAAAAAAATACAAAAGTCAATTTTTCTGAAAATGTCCAACTTTTTTCTAAAAAAAACAGTTTTTTCCTACGGCTCAATTTTTCCGGAAATTTTAAAAGCCTAGTAATGATTAATATTGATACTTTTAGTACAAAAAATAATGGACTTGGTCGCTTTATGCCTTGTTTTACCAAACTTGAAGAAGGATGATGAGCTTAAATTGACAGATGTAGTTGCACATTATCTAGAGTCGCACTTAAAGGTTTACAGTGAAAGTGATAATGAGGAAGCCATATCGAAAATTTGCGTGTGCCTCGAACATGTTTTGAAGATCCACAAAAATTTTGACATCTTGGAAAGCCTGCAAAACCTTATAGTTGCTTTGCAACCAAAGTTAAAATCTTTGTTCTCAAAGTCATTCTCCAAACTAATTTTCACCCTCTACTCCGATCAAAGCGACCTAAATAACCCCACAGCCAAAACAATGCAAAAAATCATGTTACTCTTGGATGGCGAAGTATCCGAATTACCTAAAACCCCCAAATTCCCCACCCCTTTCAAAATATCGACGCCGCCTAGCAGCAGATCCACCAAAATCGCGAATCTACTCAAAAACACCCCCACCACCCCCAAACAAAGTAAACCTTCGATGTTGACGCTCTTCGGTAAAAAAGTGGAATCTCCCAACTCGGTGAAGGTCAAAGGCAGCCAGCTAAACAACACTCCCATCAGAGTCAAAGAGATCATCATGAAAGGCAGTCCGAAAACTCCCAAGGAAAAATTGGTGCCCTCCATCGACGACGAAAGTAACTCTCAGTTCGTCGCCATAGACACGGAGATCAAGTTCAGACCCGAAAAGTTGAACGATCACCAGAAGGAAGTGCTACAGAAGCGCAGGGAAGATATTCCCGCTTTGTACCAGGATCTGTCTCAGAGTCAGAGTCAGGATATTTTCAACAAGAACAACTCAAATTCCAACAGTGTTATGGAGAAAGAAAATAAGAGTAGTAATGCACAGGATGTCTCAGAGACTAGTATTGATACATCCGAGGAAAAAGTCACCATAATTGAGAACAACGAAGTTTCATCAACCAAAGATGTAGAAAATTCATTGCAAAGTTCCAAAAGCGATTCTCCTAAAAGTCCAAAAAGAACCAACTCTCCAAAAAGTCAAAAAGCGGACGAATCAAGCAAAAAAAATAAATCTTCCAAAACTCTGGCGGAAGAAGAGAAAAAACGTAAAATCGAAGCCGAACTGAAGAAACTGAAGATGGACATCGTGGCGCCAGATCAATTTTTACTGTCGACGCCTAGAAGAAGTCGCAAGAAACCAAGCAATAAAGACGAAGAAAAGCCGAAGAAACCCTCACCCGAGGTCGGCAAGAGAAAATCTATCGCTGCAACGCTTGAAATTAAGGAAGCGACCACCACAGCGGACAAAAGGCGTAAAAGCACCGGTTCCATGGGTGAGATCAGTGTGGCGAAAGTCGAGCCCAAACGAGGGCGCGGAAAAAAGGGTAAAAATGCGGAGAAGGAAGTAACCACCACAAATAAAGACGTAGAAATCATCAGCAAAACTGAAGAACAGACAAAGCAAGGCGTCAAGAGAGGCTCTGAAGATTTAGAGGACTTTCCAGAGGAGCCTGTTAAGAAGGCAAAACTAACGGATAGCGATACGGAAGATATCATAGAAAGTTCGCAAGAACCAAGCGTGTGTTTCACGCCCATATCGTCCCCGAAAAAGAACAAAGAAACTCTCGAAAACGTATCGAATATCGATGAAGAGATTGAAGTTGCACAACCTGGTGATGTTATGGAGACGCAAGATATCATATCCAACGAGTTTACTAAAGATATGACGCCACCTCAAGAAAACCTCAACATCACGGAGGTTAATGAGGAAGCCCCGCAAGCAAATGTTTCTTTGGCTGATACTATCACTCAGACGGAATCGGACCCATGCAATGTACCCATGAATTTAAATCCTGCTATAATTAAGCTGGACTTGCCGAAAAAAATCGAAATGACCGAGTCGGAACAATTTGTAAGCAATATGGATACCGTTTCGTTACTATCCGATATGATGGCGCCTGATTTGGAAATAACAATGGAAAACGACAAAAAAGAAGACTTGCAATCGTCACCCATAACTGTTCATACACCTACTAAGAATACGGAATTACTTAATGTCACAAAAGATATTTCTCCCATACCGGAAAAGATGAACTCGGAAGAGGCCCAAGCTCCTCAATCCAATGAAGAGGTGAACGATTTTTGTTTTTTGGAAGCTACAGTGCACTCACCGGATAAAGAGGAAAAGAAGAAGGAAGAAGCACCTTGCAAGATATCCGAACGGATGCAGAAGCTGGTGCAAGGTCAATTCGAATCGCCAGTCTCAACGCACAGAAGAAAGCAGAATAGAATGAGCATATCGCCTTCAGCTTCCAGGATCAGGAAATTAATGTCGCCATTCGGTTACGGAAAAGTCAACCTGCAAAGCGAGTTCATCAACTCGACCACCAACGAGGAGAAGGTGGACTTGTTCAAGTTCTCCAAAGAACGCCCCAGTCTTAACGGCACGCCGGAAAGAAGCATATTGAAGAAAAAAATGTCCGAACACGTGGACGATGGCGTTTCGCCTGGCGGTAAAAGAAAGAGAGTGCACTTTACCTACCCCACAACGACAAGCAAAAAAGTGTACCTTAAACCCATAGATCCCGAGGACATGCGTTTGGAGCTGATCAACAAAAATCAAGGCGACACAATAATCGATTTCAGAGACTACATCCACGAGCAACACGAAGCCGACGATACTTTCGAATGTATATATCCCCTCTTAAAAGACTGCACGCAATCCATAAAATGCCTTTTTGCTAGAGTCGACTCCTCCTACCAAAAGTTTATGAAGTTCAACCTGGTTACCATAGGTGATCTTGCAAGTTTGCCAGAACAAGAAATCTTCAATCTGCCCTTTAAACCCCCCGTCATAACCAACACGTTTAAAGCCTTGCACAGCTATCATATCGTGAAAATATTGAAGGAGGAATTAGCGCAGGAGAAAACCTGCAAGATCGAAATCGACGAGAATAATGTTGAATCCAAACACGCTACTTTTATCCTGTATCCGGAGCTGGCAAAGTGTTACGATCTCGTTGAAAATCTCTTCAGAAAAATGAAGAATCTGGATCTTATATTATGGCGTTCCAAACTTAAGGAGTACGGAATCAAACTGGTGTGTGATTTGGTTGCAATTTCCGAAAGTAAAATACTCAGACTGCCCTTCAAAGGCCCCATAGTTTCCAATGTGTACCAAGCTTTGGACTTCTACTATCAACAAAAATTGGACAATGATGTATCAATAAAGGACGTCTGTATCACATTACCTCTTGATGATGACGATAGCGACTGCATATACCCCAAATTAGCTCATTCCGGTGAGCCCATAGAATTGTTATTCAACAATTCGGAAAATATTGGTTGTGTACTTGAAAAACTAACCGAGATTAATATTAAAACCATTGGTAATTTGGCTGTGCTGACGCAAGACGCGATTTTAAGCTTGCCTATCAAATCCACCTCTGTCCTAAGTATTTATAAGGCTTTGGATAAGTTTTACGCAAGGATTGCACAGGAAGATAAAAGCAAAGTTTCCCAGGAAAGTATACATGCAAACAGCAAAACAACGCAAGTTAATTTGGAGGAAAATGATGAAGATGTACTATCCAAAATACTTGCTAAAGATTCCATAAATATTATATCCATAATGAGCAAAAACCAAGTCGAAAACCTTGTCGATTACTGCGTCAAATCAAACAAAATATCCGAGAAACACTTTAAGACAGTCGTAGAAAACTTCATTAAATCTGACGGTATGGAAAAAATATTCAACATCATTTCTGACGCCATAGAATCGAATGAAGACGAGTCAATTTATTTCGACTGCATTTTGAGGCATTCGGTTGATAAAAAACCTTTGATAGCTTTAGTGGAGAAAAGGACTCTCTTGGAGATAAAAGAATGTTTGCAGGAACTTATAAGCAAAGAAAAACATACCAAAAGAGAGGTTTTGGATGGTTGCTTATTGCCTCTCATAAGTAACCCAAATGATATTAGGACTTACTTTAAGAATCTCAATGTGGTGCAGTTAGGGGATACCATAGTGAAATATGTGAAACCAAAGGATTTGGACCAATTTATAAACAGGCTGTATCAATCATATGAATCGGAAATTTTAAGTGTTGTTGATAGACGAAAGGTATTACAAAATTCGACTCAAAAAGAGCTCTGCCTTGAAGTAACCCAAAGAAAAGTGGACGAAATGGTGGAATGTCATGAAAGTATTGTTAATAAACTTCTTGAAAACGGGGAATATAAAGCATTGGAAACTGTTTTTAAGAACGTTAGTAGTAAGCTGTCCAAAAGTACTGTTAGGGATCTTTTTGTCGAGTTTTTGAAGAATATTGACTTGTAATACGTTTATTTTAGTTTTTATAGTTATACATAATTTATTCAGTTTTATATTTTATTATTAAATCATTTTTAATTAAGTAAAACTGTTTTTTAATGTCATTTTGGGTTAAAAGAAAAACCAAGGTCCTATAAAATAATTTATTAATTCCTTATTAATATATTTTACAAAATTCTCTTTAATCTAACTGTACAACTTATATATCGCGTAGGATACAAAAATATATTGAGCAAAGATCTAGAAAAATAATCAGGTCTTTGTAAACGTTATCGAGGTAAAATTCATCCTTAAACCTAGCACAATTGAAAAACCTAACTACGGAAACCGGGACTCTTTTATGAACCTCGGGTGGATGTTGTGGTACGAGCTGGACCTGGTGATGATCTGTGGCGGATATCTGGTCTCTGGGGGCGAATACCGCCTGTGCCTGTGTCTCTCAAATCGAGGCCTGGTGTCGTAATCCGGTGGTGCATGGTGGTCGTAATGGAGATTATCCCTGCTGCTCCTCTCGCGTCTCCTGTAGTATTCGCGTTCCGAGTCCGTTCCAAAGATGTCCAGTACTTGATTAGCGTGGAACTCGCTGATCGTGATGTCTGAATTCCGCCTCCAGGCGTCCTTGTATCTCTTCTCCATGGTGTCTTCAACGATGGGCTTGGTTTTCTGCGAGTTGTTTGAGCTCTCGCTGGAGTTTTCTTCCGATGTACCCAACCCCAGGTCTTTGTCCAGATCCCCGAAGCTTTTGAAGGATTTCTTCGGGTATCTTTCTATGGTTGACACCTGTTGGGTTTTTAGATTGCTTCCGTTCAGCGTGAATTGCGGATGGGGAATGCAGTACGGATGAGGCAGTGCTTTTTCAACGCTGGACATTTTCATGTCGTCTTCGGGTTCGTGTTTGGAGCAACTTCCGGGTCCAAAGATAGACAGTAGAACGGGAAGTAGGAACATGCCGTGCATTGCCCCAAAGAAAACGACTAGGAAAACCATCTTGAAGAACACAGCGAATATATAATTATTGGCCAAGAGTAGAGCAATCATTCCCAATATTGTACTGACGGATCCTTGGAATATAGGCAGACCTAAAGCGTACAGTGATTCCCTAACTCTTTCATCCGGTGTTTTTGCTTTGGATGACATGTAGGCGTAGCATATATGAGCTGTGAAGTCGACGCTAAAGCCTATACACATAATTAAGTTGATCATGGATATGGAGTCCAAATTGACCCCCCACAAAGCCATATATCCCACAACGCCAGCTTCTATAGATATTATACTGAATGCCACCCATATTGAGCATAAGAAGTTTGGTATGAAAATAAAAGAGACTATCATCATGATTATTGCGCCCAATGCCATGTTCTGTATCGAAAGAGGCCGAACCAGTTCAAACTGAAACAATAATTGTAATTATAGGGATATAATGTTTAATATAAATCTCTTACCTGATCAAAAAATACGAAATACGGATGAAACACTGTAGCATTAAGTGGCGAGTCCTTGCAAATCTTTCGAATGGCCCTCACCATTTCCTTTTCATGTTCAGTACCAGATATGTTCACAGCTTGTATCAAAAACCTCATGCCTATAATGTTTTCTCCTGTTTTGTCGAATTTAACGTCCAAAGAAAAAGGACTTGTGGGTGGTAACCATAACTCCTTCAGTGTTCTGATAAAATCTTTTTTGGTACTAATTGAGATGTTGAGGTATTCCTGATTTCTCTCAGCGTATTGCAGGAAACCCCTCAACCATGATTCGGTGTATAACGTGTTGGATATATAGGACGTGTTTTCAAAGGTTTGCGTTAAATTTTCGACTTGTTGCTGAATCAAAGGGTTCGAATAATCGTAGTTACCAGCCACTACAACTTGGATTCTGTAAGGAAACTCTCTATAATAATCATCTTCTCTATCGAAGAATTCGATGGCGTATGAATCATTCTTCGCCACTTTTCTTCTTTCCAGGCCCTCTTGTATTTGCGTGACGCCATATCCGGCTCCCAAGAGGTAAACCCCGAAAACCAAGATCACCAGAACTTTTACGCAACTGTTGTTCAAGAAGGGCGCAAAGGAATCTCTGAAGAACAACATGAATCCGTGTTCTTTGTTATCAATTGGGTTGTCTATGTCGTCTGGATCTACACCTCCAGTGCAGAACACCTTGTATAACCAGCATCTGTCCCCTGCAAAAGTAAAAAGTCTTAAATGACGAAGTCAATTTTTTTTACTAAAAATGTATAGGTGTGTCTTGTATCTTAATTTGAAATGTTGAACATATAACTTAACCTACTAAAACTTTCATCTTCTATTAGAATCTTAATAAGTTAGAATTTACGAGTGACTGGAGAGTATAACGACTTATTCATAATTAATAGAGTTAGCTTGTCTAGGATATTGCCGTATTGTACAGTTTCACAATTTTATCCTGTTTTAAAAACAAACTGTTGAAACATAAATTGTTGAACAAATATCAGAAAATATGGCTTCGTCTATACCTAAGCTACTTAAGAAAAAATTTACATTTTGAAATATTACAATGTGACACTAAAAAATGGTGGTCTACTTCCTATTTTTTATAATACCTTATAAAATTGCACCACAAAAATTATGCAACATACAAAAATGCAGACGCAATAAACCAAAAGTTTATTTTACGTGTTTGGAATATAATGAGAAATTTAAATTTACCTATGTATATTATACCGGGTGTGTCGATAAAATATTTCAAGGTTATTCCATAGCCTACTTTCTTTCACTTCCTTCCCATATTAATTAATTAAATTCAGTTATTAAGAACAAATTATGTAAAAGTGTGCCACTTTTTAAAATTAATTAAAGCGCCAGTTTATTTGTAATTATATAATTTAAGCATTTAACCATTTCCTCGTACCGACTAAAAATGGCGAATTTCGTATTAGAAATTATGGAGAATTTTAAGTATACAAACTATAAGCTAAACGACCTTGCAAGCATTTCTTTTTGCATTTTCATAATTCATTGTTGATGAAATAATTTAATTACGCAAGTAGGAATTGAAAAAACAAGTGAAAGTGGTCAGTCGGTATCGCGTTGGCCGGTTTACCTACTTGATAATAGTTGCAGATCCAAAAAAGTCGTTTGAAACCTTTTAACAGATTTTAATGAGTTTTTTGATGCAGCGTTTTAAATCAGTGGCTTTTTGATTGTCAATCTGGTTGCTATCAAGTTTTATAAATACTATTTTAGAAGCTTGCAAGCGAGTGTTTAATAAAACCGAGTGTCTAGAGAAGTTTAGGAAACTAGTTGCATACTATACTTTATCTACGACGAACGCAAAGAAGAATGTGACATCTGTCAAATTTCAACAGATTTAACCTTACTTTTCCCCAATTTATAATAAAGCTAACTTCAGCCCGTGACTAAAACGCCTTAAAGTCACAGCTCTTAGGAGTAGATAAAAGTGTATTAAAATTAAAGACACACTTACCAGATTTGGACACAGGCTGAACTTTGAAGCAAAGAACTGAATGAAGATTTTTTTGCTCGCAATACCCGGAAATTGCAACACACGCGGCGAAAAATGTGAGATGCCAAATGAAGAGTAAAACCGTTGCAGCTCCCGAGTAAATACAGAAAATAGTTACGGACGGGAAAGGGCTGTATATCCCTATGCAGAAGCTGAAGAAATCTGTGACGGAGGTGATGGTTATGGAAACCGCTGCTTCACTTAGCATATGGGCCATTCTCTCCGGCACCGGGGTTTTTATGGAGGTTCTTCTCCAGGCCGCCAACATAACGAAAGTATCGTCAATACCAATACCTAAAAAACAAAGTCCCTAAGTTAGTTTTTTCGTTTTTTTTTTAAATATACACTGTTTAATATATCTGTGGTGTAAAAAGTAATCTTAAAATGGTGTCTAAATCCAACACCAAGTGGTGTTAATATAACACCATGAATTATGGTTGAAAATGTTTTATACAGCAAACACCAAAACGGTGTTCATCTAAAAATATTTGAGAAGTGCACCAACACAGAAAAAAAGGAATAGTTAGATCATTTAACTATATTAATTTAGTTGACCCATAAGTATTTATTTAAATCAACTGTGGGAAGATTAATATAAACAAAGATTAGTTTGACGGTACTAAACCAGATAGTTATTTTATTTTTTTAAATTGGTTAAATTAACCCAGAAAACTTTAGTAAAACGAACCCGTTGTATGGTTCAGTTTAATAAATATGTTGTTTGTAAAATAAGAGTTACTTCAACCTAAAGCACTCTGTTAAAACGATTAAAACAATTTGCCGTGCATTCCTGGTTGCATAGTGTGTACCGATCGCAGCAAAGTGATGTTCTTAACCCAAACAGCACACAACATCCTTAAGACGTCTTGTTTATGTCTTAATAAGGTCTGAACGTCTTAAGACCTAAAAACGACGTCTTAAAGACATATTTGAGAAGACGTCTTAAAACAAGCAATTTAGTAACGTCTTAAAGACGTCTTTTTAAAGTCTGTTTCGGGATATAAACTATCTAGGATCTACCTGCTGTACTGCAATTTGTACCCGCGGCGTTTACTTTATTAAGATAACCTGTATAAATTAATTAATTACTTTCTTTAACTTTTGAATACATTTAAAGACTTAGTAAGGACGTCTTAAAGGCGTATTTTTTAAGACGTCTTAAAGATATGCAATTTGTGATATCCTAAAGACGTCCATGAAAGCCTAGTTTGGGACATTTTAACCTAACTGCCTATTGAGAAACTCAAAATAATGTACACCCATACAAAACTATCTGTTTATGTGAAGTGTAACAATTTGCTCTATATATACTAAATACTTATGTTTAACAGTTTAGATAGGTACTTTTATATCAACAATCTCTCTTTTTTAATATTATTTGATACCAATGGTAATTTTAAATTTAGCGCGCTTCTATTATTTTCCTCTTGTGGAATTTGCCTTAAATACAAAACTGGACAACGTTGTCAGATCGACTAATTTTTAGCAGATCTACAACAAATTAAATAAAACAACAAAATGTATTCAACAAAATATTAAAACTTACAGCATTTGTAATCAGGGCCTGTATAGGCAATTTTTTGTAGGATTTAATATTAAATCCAAACACGATAGAAATAAAGAAACAAATAAAACATCTGACCAAACCACCATGCGCAATGTGCAAAGAGAACTCCGGCAACGCTGTTGTCAAAGCGGAATTGGCATATGATTAGCCATTTTGTTTGTTTTTTTTACAAACATTTTTGTTAGCTGATACTGCTTGACTTTGCATTTTATTTAAACTTTTTCGGTGTCTAGCTATTTACAAATAAAACTTACTGTGAACTGTGAGAGTGAGTGTGAGTACTATAATAATTATAAAACTTAATTTTATGGCCGTTGTTTGGACCAAACAGTGTCGTGTCTTCAATCTTCAGCAGTGAGAATCCAGTGAAATAGGTAATAAGAAACATGAAGCGTATTCGTTTAAGTAAATATTATTTTTTATAAAATAGCTGTCTATTTAAAAGTTTTAAAACCTGTTAAAAAACAAACAAACCGCTGTTGTGTAAATTAATACGTTTTTTTTTTAGGATCAGTGGAGAAATCGGGTCTTGCCAAATTTGATAAAGATACGGAAATTGCTATTCAAGCTTGGCTAAAAAGGGCATCAGATAGAAGAACCCAATTATTAAAGAAGTTTTAAGATTTTTTTTTCAAATATTTTGCTATCTGTATGATTTTATGTGGCCAACCTTCCACCTCAAAGTTGGAACACTTTGTTTATTTAAAAATAGAAAATAAAAGTTTCAGTGGATTTTGAACGATTTTTTTAATTTTACCAATATATTTTAGTCCCTTAAAGACGTCTTTACGACGTCCATTAATGGCCGTAAAATGACTTAATAAAGATGTCTTAAAGACGTTGGGTTTTTTAACATTCGACGTCTTAAAGACGTCGTAAAGACGACGTGCGGCGTAAATAAGACGTCTTAAGGATGTCTTGAATAGCGAAGCAAGGCGTCTTTAAGATGTCTTAAAGATGTCTGTGTGCTGTTTGGGAAATCACGCCTCTGTTGACTTACATGAAGAGTATATAAGCTCAGGTAGTCCTTTGCTTTGGTGACACTACAAGTTGTTCGATACTAAAGAGACCTTAAAAAGGTGGAAACAGATGTCAATACTTGAAGTATTTTAAGTTGGTGGAACGCACTAAAAACATTATCTCTAGCGAGTTGAAGGTTCAATTTTCTGGAATAATATCACTGGTAATATACTAGTAATGCGTCAAGGAACTTCCTTTTTTTTCCTTTTTTTCTGTGTAGTATGATTTAATTTGACCAAAAACAATCACTGAAAAGGCGTTCAATTTACACCAGGTAAAATTTATTTGAATACTGTGTGAAAGTTAAATTTACACCAGTTTAGTATTTGAATTTACACCGGACCAACGAACCTTATTTAACACCATTTTGGTTTGTATCGATATAGACCATGTATGGTGTTAATTTGGTGTTAAAATGGTCATGAAATTTTGACTTACCGATCATCAGAAACGGTGCTGCCAAGTTGATGCCGATAAAATCCACACCGGCGTACATGCAGACGCCGAAAGCGCACAGTGTTGCCATTGCCGCGCTCAGGTTCCCCAAAAGGCCCAGCCAAGGCTTGGATCTCACCCAGTCAGTCATCATGCACGTTAGGACCGAGAATCCCGCCATTATTACGAATGTGGAGGTGAAGTATGGGATGACAGATTTGGTGTTCTTCTCCAGTTCGTGATCCAATGTTCTGGACGCGAATCGGGCGATTCGGATGTGCTTGAATATGTTCTGTTTGTCTTGGATTTCTTCGATTAGGTCGAGGAAAGCGTCTTCCCAGGCTGTGCCGCTAAAAAAATTGGTTCTGTGAATTTTTGTTTTCAATAGTATTATTTTCGTTTTCAATGGTATTATTTTGTACAGGCATTCGTACAATATTTCTAAACATTTTTTTGATTTTTTAAAATCATGTAGATTATTTATTAACATTTATTTAGTTTTATTTATAGAGATTGTTGATAAAATTTAATATTTATTAGTACGAAAGCTGTCAAAACTCCTGGAAATTTTCATTTTTTAATTATAATTTTTTTTAAATTTTATTGTTTTTTTTCCTTTAACTAAATATTTTAACATATAAGTACCACTATCAATGTCAAATCTCAAATCAAAGCTAATGATATGACAAAACTAACTCAAACAAGCTTTTAAAAATGTTGGTTTCTTTTTCTACAGTAAAGATATGATAAGTCAGATTGAAAATAAATTATTATTGCACTAATTACTTTATTAAATGAAATTTTTGTAAAACCAGAACTTATTTTTTAAATATTATATGGACTCTATAATAATCATTACTAAACATTTGACCAACAATTAATGTATCGAATATTACGAACTTTAACGGCGGCCATTTTTATGTTGTTTACAATTCTTGTACTTTGGGTTTGTACTGTTTATACAGAATAATAATTACAGAGGCACTTGTACTTGTACTAAATACAATCATTTTACTCCTCTTTTGTTAAAAATACACCTTTTTCTATCAAATTCTTATTCTTATTATATTAAACTGTCAAATTTCAATTTTAAAATTAATTTGTGGTAAAATATACCATTATTTTTGGGTTATATTTTGTATTAAGGATTTTTTAGTATTCAATCCCAAAACAGTTCTCCCCTTGTACTATTATTTTGTATAATTTAATTATTATACATATCTAAAATTTTCTGTATTTTTTCGAAAATTTTCTAAAAATTATTATTTTTTAAGGCAAATTTTAAAATATAAAGTTAATGACAAATTGTTATAAAGTTAATAGTAACATATCTTTCTAAAATTTGCTGTATTTTTTCGAAATTTTTAAAAAAATTATTATTTTCAATATTTCTTTTTTTCTAAAGCCAAATTTTAAAATATAAAGTTAATAATAGATTTTTGACGCTTTTGGAAAATATTTTTTTAAATGTACAATAGTATATTATTATATTTATAAAATTTGCTGTATTTCCTATAAATTATTATTTTTTAATCTTTCTTGTATTTTTTTTCTAAAGACAAATTTTAAAATATAAAGTTAATGACAGATTTTTGTAAAGTTTATAATACATTTTTTAATAATATATATTTCTAAAATTTGCTGTATTTTTCAAAAATTTTCTAAAAATTATTATTTTTAATATTTCTATTATTTTTTTTCTTAAGCCAAATTTTTAAACATAAAGTTAATACTATTTTAAGATTTATATATTTCTAAAATTTGCTGTATTTTCTATAAATTATTTCTTTTTTTTATTTTTTTCCCAAAGACAAATTTTAAAATATACCTAATTAGTAAATTAATTAAATTAAAGTTTATAATATATATTTCTAAAATTTGCTGTATTTTTTTAAAAATTTTCGGGCGAAACGCACGAATTACAAAACTGTTTTTATAAAAAATATATATAATATTTTGGCATCAAAATTGTTAAAAATATTCTTCTTTTATTAGGCTATATATTAAATTAAAAAAATGCAAGAAATATTTTATTAAAGAAGAAATAATTTTAATAATTTGAAGGTGAGGATGGAACAAAAAAAAGATTTATCTTGTCAATTATTAAAATTATCTCTACTTTTATAAAATATTTCTTGCGTTTTTTTTGTTTAATATATAGCCTAATAAAAGAAGAATATATTAGACAATTTTTAGGGAAAAATATTATATATTATAAATTACCTACAATTTTTTTTATAAAAACAGTTTTGTGATTTGTCCCGTCCGTATGCTTGAAATGGCCGTGAAAAGTTATTGATAGATTTATATATATTTTTTTAAATGTACCATAGTTTTTAACACTAAAAATTTTGTTTTATGTTGATTATTTACCGATGATTTTTTATACAACATAATTTTTTAATGGTATTTTTAAATTTGAAAATTAATGTATTAGAGAAAAACATTTTTTAATTTTGAAAAATTGCGGATGCGCCGGGATTAATGTTTTTAAAGTAATACTTATTTATAATAACTGAATTATTTACACTTTCATAAAATGTACAATATGGCAATTCCATATGTTGCCAACAATAAAAAACAATTGTATATTTTTTATAAATTATGATTATTAAACTAGCACATATAAAACCAGCAACAATTACAATTTTTACACACAAACTAGTCCACCATCTACCACATGTTCAAAACTTATGTTTCATATCAGCGCAATCCGCAACAACTAACACAATTTAATAAATAAAAAACTACTTACAGCTCGTCGTATTTCTTAGTTTCTGCATTGCCAAAGTAGACCAGTTGCACAGATGGCACGCTGATAATAAGGCCATCATCACTGACAACTGTCCCGCCGAAAAACACTGGGAAAGCATGGGCGTCCCAGGTCACAGGGTTGAACATAAGCGGGAAAGTCAGGTTTATTTTCTTGGCCTCCACCTGTAAGAAAAATAAAATTAATAGCCTGTTGCAGCACCATTTTTCAAAGCTTGAAAATTGCAGGAAGTATTTAAAACAAACAAAAACAAGAGAAAATTTGGGTTTACTTAATTGTTTCCATACCCATTGTATTTTTCCTGAAGCATAATCATTTAACCGCAAAATTATTAGAGAAATCGTAAAAAAATATGTTATAAATAACAACATAATAATAATTATATTGAGAATCGAGAACAATTCAGTGTATTTTTTGAAAATAAGGTCAAATCATTAGGATTTTTTATATCATATATATTTAAGAAAAAAATGTTAACAATTAAATTTATATATCTGAGGTAGTAAAAGCATACTAAAAATATCAGTTCACTAAGTAAATTAAACACATCCAAAGCAATCGAATCAAATATAAAATATTATTAAAAATTAAAAGAAATAATTTTTATAACCATTTTTGTGGGTGTTACAAAAATTGATTCTATCCTCCGTGAATCTGTTTTTGCTTTAAATTTTATGCAACGGATGGCGCTTTAATCATTTTAAATAAGCAAAAACCTCTGTTTACGACATTATAGATGCATGTGATTCCTGAAGGTCTGTTAGAATTTATATGCAGATAAGAGTGTTGCTGTTTTATAATTCAAAAGTTTAAGTTCATTAATTTGCTATTTAAAAACCTATCCACCGTGAAGTGTAATATCTCAGTAAGTAGATTTTTTTATAAATATTTTATGTATGTACAATTTTTAAAAAATATTAAGGTGTCAAAAGATCCAATAACTTATTTCAATATACAAAGGGATGTTTAAAAAACCTATGAAATCCTAACCTCCGTGAAGTTATTTTCTATTTCTTAAAATTCCTGCAATATATTCATCACCCATATTTCAATTAATTTACTTTACTTTAAAAATAAAACAACGGCAAAAATGCAATTTTACTTCCTCTTATTAATAATAACCTTTTAATAAAATAATTACTATTACATTTTTTAATTGCCTTTACACAACATTTTAAAAACAATTTATTAATTTCTTGTTTTGTCCTCGATATCTCTCATTTCAGCAACATTCATTCAACAAAGCGCTTATTATAAACAAATATCCCGCTCTAAAATGTAGGTCACAAATTTTTAAAAATTACTCCAATCAAAATAAATTATACAAAATCAAGTGGTCGTGATCAAACGAAATCAGCCTTGCTCACTATTATATTATTATTTTCGCTTTCTTTGCTACTTTTCCGCATTTTTTGTTTTTAATAGGTTCAAATGTAAAACAATCGTGAGAAATTTAGTGTTGACCTAAAGAATATGTGGAAAATAAGGCCAAAGTTCGCTTTTATGAATTCACACTTTCACACCATATAATAAAATAGTAATTTTACACAAAAGAGGTATACTGAAACTGTATAAATTATAGAAAATATCAATAAAAACAAATTTGACCTAAAATGAAATTTTTTAGATAAAAGAAGTTTTAATATTAACAAAAGGTTACTTACGTCCTCTATAATAAAGTCCAAATTCAAAATATCATTTTGAAAGCACTCTGTCATCCATTTGGCACAAATTTCTTTGTAGGTGTAATACTCATCGTCATGAAAAACTGTCATATTCTGGATGAGATTATCCAGAAGACGCATTTCTTGCCAGACTTCCTTTCTGAGCATATTTTTGTCGCCATCTTTGGCAGTCAGAATTACTCTACCAAATCGCCCTAGAAGAAAAATAATAGATTTTAATTTAATGTAATATCTAATATGAAGGAAATAAGGTCAATAGCACAAAACAATTCTTCCATATTTTCTATGATATAATTTTATAGGAGAAACTTTTCGAGATGTAAATTATCAATTAAAATATCCCACCTGCTCTTGTGATTCTCGCGACGTTAAATTTCTCAGTGTAGTTAACCTTGAAAAATTCTTCAACAACAGCCCTTTCGTATTTTCCTTCACCATTTATGGGGCTGAATAGATATTCTGGATCGATGTTGTTGTGGATTTTTTGATATCCAGTCAAACCAAGCAGTGTTAGAAGAATGGGGATTATGAGGAAATATCCCGGATATTTTCCCACGATTAATCCCAGTTTGTAGAAGGATCTGTTTAGCCAATAATCCACTATTTTGAGTCCCATGATCTGAAAATAAATAAAAAAAGAATTTAGACGATATATCCCAAGTGAAAAAGACAAGTTATAAAATTCAGAAATAATATAATAAAAACTTTTACCTCCGATATCATTTTCATATCATTTTATCTTAAAAAAAATTTAAGAAAAATGACATACTACAATAGGAATATCCAGCTTACTAAAAAGTCAAGTCAATTTTTAATTTTTCTAAATAAAACTCTTAAATCTTAAATTTTTATACTCAAACAAATCTAGAGCTTGTCAGATTATAAAATATAAATGCATTATGTAAGTTAATGGTGCCAACGAACTTTTTGTATTCTGCAAGTGGCTTGCCTTCAAAATCACTAGAAAAACGAATAAAAGTATTTTTATTGACAAATCTATAATTTACAAACTAAACATTATTAAAACAGATTTTTTCTAAAAAAAATTTAGCATACTTTTTATTTTGTAGGCTTATAATTTCTATGGCCAAATTTGTCACAGAAATAAGAATCTAATTAATACATAAATATTTAAAAAAAAGTAGCTTATGTTTAAAATACTAATTGAAGAAATAAATTTGTAATGAAATTGAAACTGACAGGCCATTTAAGCTAATTAATTAATTTATTAGTTTGTGTCAAAATCGTACTTTCTATCATTTAAAAAAATTACGGTACTCGTAATTTTAAAACATTTTTTATGGGAAACACGTGAATAATTTTTCCTGAAAAAATATATTTTTCTTCCTGACTAAAATGGCGACTATGAAACTTGATACATTAAATATTAAACTATAATTTATTATAATTCTTTTCTCATATTAAACTCAATTGACACAGACAAAACAATGCGCTATTACATAAAGATGAAGACATGTAAATTTACGTATGCTTCTTAATATTCTACATGTGAATTTGTGTTCAAACAGTTGGGTTCGATTACCGGCTACTTATGCAATAAAAAGCATTATAAAATAATTATGAATTAATACGTAGTTGTAAAAATATTATTTAACCCAAGTAGCCAGTGTTAGATAACGCAGTGTATAAGCAGAAACAGTATATGTACTTAACTTGGGTACCTAGGAAATTGTTGGTTTTATGATATTTAATGGGTTACTTTCTAGAATATTAGTAGACATCTACATTTTGTGGGTATTTTCCAGTTTTATAAGAGTTTTTATCTATTTTGCGTTCATAATGACTTTATTATAACACCGCTTTCGGTGCTGTAATGAGATACTTTATCCACCCAAAATTTTGATTTTATAGGTTGGCTATACTTTAAACAGCATAATATTTTGCACATTGGTTATAATATTTTTATGATTTTTCTAGTACTTACGAGACTTTTCTGGCAATAAATTTTGTTTAACACCAAAGAAAATCCTTTATCTTCTTCTTTAACATTAACAGCCGCTTATTGTAAATAAGTAAATTAAGGACAGCATGGCGAATCTATTTTGACATTAAATGTCAAACCAATGACTGTGATACCAAAGTATAAAACTAATAATTTTTTTATAGAATTTTTGCAAAATAGATCTTTTGTCACAATCGTCCATAAATTGTCCGCGTGCGACAAAATGACATTAATTCTTTAATATACTATTTTTAATTTGTAATTTTTAAGATAGAGCTATTTTCAATTTAAAATATTGGTCTTCGTGAGTCTTTTATGAGTAGTCTTTACAAAATATTTTATATTGTTAAAAAATTATTTATTTCAAGCATTCTTTCTTTAAATTTGTCAAGTACTTTTTCCGGAAAGAAAAATGTTTTTTTCTGTAAAAAAAATTGTTTTTCTCTTAAAAAAATATTGAATTGTATTGTCTTAAAATTATTTTAAGGGATCAACAAAATAGTGTCTATAAGAAACTCAGTAACTTCACACACTTTTCCTTCGCCAATAAAGTCTTTTAAATTCAATGTTAAGTTGTTTACTTACATAATTATTTAAATTAATTCCAAAACAATATCTCAGAGTATTTTTAATAAAATTATGTTGCAAAAACATTACTTTTAATATTTCTGTTGTTTTATAGTATATTATGAATTAAGTTTTATAAACCCGAGTTTTATTAGGCACGAGCGAAGCTTGCGAGCGAGTGAATAATAAAAACGGGTGTCTAGAGAAGTTTATGAAACGAGTTGCATACTAAGTCAATTTTATTTGTTAAACTTTGACATCTGTCAACTTTAAACGGATTTAACCTCACTTTTTCCTAATTTATAATAAAGCTAACTTCAGTCCGTGACTAAAATGCCCAAAAGTCACAATTGCTAACTTCAGCCCGTGACTAAAACGCCAAAAAGGCACAGCTTGTCAATGTAGGAATAGATAAAAATGTTTGGTTGATAGAACTTAAAATACAAATTTTTAAGGTATACTACTACTGATGTTTGTTTTTAAATGCCTATTTAATCTATTGCTACAAAATATTTTATAATTACAATAAACTGCTTTTGCATATTTCACTTATCCTTTCTTATTCGATAAGTGTTTCAGGGATTTAATTTTTTGTAGAAGTACCCATTTATTTATTCAAGCAAAATAATATTTTAAAAATATTCCAAACACGCAGTACAAATTAGTGATTATAGCGTGACATATGGCTAATCATAATTGTGAATCTGTTGCTGCTATTCAGAAAAATCGTGGTGTGACGAAAAATTTAATTTTAACGCTTATAATTACCATATAATTCTGGAGATACCAATACCTGCATAGCGACGAACTCGAACCATTTTTATTGATTTTAATTTAATTGGGAACTTGTTGTTTGCTAATAAATTAATGGGACATCCTTAAAATTGGTATTCACAGTGTAATGATAACCTTGAACTCAATTTAAATTTAACAATATACGATGCCACACGAATTATTTTTGATTTCTCATAAATCCCAATTGAAGGTAGACCTTTGATAAACCTTAATATGAATGTACAGTTCATTTTTTTATTTTGACTCGTGTTTTTTATTAAGTTGGTGGAATACTTCTGGGCCGTAGTCACCTATATTTAACTACTTTTTTATATGATTTTACTCATCTAGGCACCTCCAAAGCCAAAGCAATTGTTTTTATCAATTCAGTGGAACTTCTTTTGAACAATATCAGTTACAATAAACATTATTGTGCAAAAATATCATGGGAAATATACAGGTATTGATTTACATATCAATTATATACATAGCCATGGTCATATAGGTGAATTTTAATTAATAACACAAGATAAGGTACGCATGAAAATTATAATTGTTCAATTAATCTTTATCGTTACCTACATACATGCAAATTTACCACTTACTTAAGTTATATCTTCGATTTTTTATTGCCCAAGTGGTGCAAATAAATTAATTACGGTATCATATAATGCTCTAGAAACTTTTGAGACGTTCTTGAATATTTTTACTTTTATCTTGTTGGTTAATCTCAATGGATAGATAATAAGGTGTTATTAGACACGAAGATATGTTCTAGTAAATGATTTTATGCACTTCCTGCAAATACACGAGTTATTATATTGCGTAAAATTTGAGTTTTACTAAATATTAATTCAATCAATTATTTTTTAGGCATAGTTGCCTTAGGGGCAAATTTTCGAGAAATATATTTAATGTTTGTTCAGGTTACCTATAGCTTAAGGCCCACTATCAAAAATATACACCGACTTGTTAAACCAGTATGAAATACGTAGTTTATCTAAATCGATGAGAAAAATCACATCAAGATTGAGTTTGTGTTTAATACATCGATTTTTTAAAAATTGCTTTTAGGCTAAATCAAATAATTTTGAAGATACCCAAGTGAAAAAAGTCAAGTACAAAAATTCAGCTTTGACCAAAATCATTTAAAGCATGATTTTACAAAAAAACGTTATTAAACATTAAATTTTCTGTACGAGGTGTGTACAGAAAATAACGGAAATTGTTAAATTTCGCGGGTTCGGAGGGTCCGGTTGTCATTAAATTTTCTTTATTATGTTGGTATATATGCCCCCGAAGTATGATAAAAACTTTAGCTGTTTTCATTGTTTACTTTGTCTGTGGCAGCCGCTAAGGTTAGACGTGTTTTATGAGCTCGGCGATTTTTCGTTCGTTACAACAAAATGGATCAAAGAATTTGTATTCAATTTTGCTTAAAAAATGAAATAAATTCTGTGAAATGTTAACAAAGGCCTATAGTGAGTCTGCTATAAGTAAAACAAGAGTTTACAAGTGGTATAAGAGTTTCCAAGATGGCCGTGAAGACGTTGAAAATGACGAACGCCCCGAACTTGTGCATTAACAACCGATAAAAACATGGAAAAAGTGGAAGAAATGGTTATAAACCATCAGAGAAGTCGCTGATGATGTTGGTTTATCGATTGGCTCATCCCATAAAATTTTTTCGAATGTTTTGGTTATGAAACGCGTGGCAGCAAAATTTGTTCTAAAATTGTTAAATTTTGAACAACATTTTTGGCCAAAAACAATACTGTAATGATGCCCCAGCCTCCATATTCGCCAGACATGCCGCTGTTTGACTTTTTCCTATTCCCAAAAATAAAGAGAACCTTAAAGGGCCGTCGTTTTGCAAGCATAGATGACATTAAAAGCGCATCGCTGAAAGAACTAAAGGCTATCCCAAAGATCGAGTTTTAGAAGTGTTTCCAGTCTTGGAAGAAGAGCTGGCACATGTGCATAATATCCAATGGGGACTATTTTGAAGGCGACAACATTAATGTAGACGAATAAATAAATATTTGTTTCAAAAAACGAAAATTCCCGATATTTTCAGAACACACCTCGTATATCAAAAAAATGTCTATAAAAATATGTAATTCACCATGTTAATTAACTCAAATAAACAAATTATACAAATTATTATTTTAATACACAATACCTTTCATTGCAGGCCTTACGCGCGTGGTAGGTTAACAGTACGAAATGACACGATATCCTTGTGGCATTTTTTCCAATACATTTTATTAACAATCACTTTTAATGCTCTATTTGAAAGTGGTCGGAAAAATTGC